ATCTGGCTCAGATCGAGGAGTCCAGGAGAGCGACTGCAGCTCTTTACACTCTACAGAAGCGTGAGGAGAGGGAGAGAGGGGCGAGAGACATGAGGAAGAGGAGAGGGGTGAGGAAGACCCCGCAGAGAGAGCGTGCTCCTCATCGTCGTCCAGCAGGGGCCCGAAGGGGTCAGCCGTCAGAGATGAGGACCCCAAGATCAGGTCCTCCATACTCAGAGACATGACAGAGGCTCAGTGTGTGATGATGGTGATGAAGGTGAAGGGGTTCGAGTGAGTGTGTGTGTGTGAACACGGTGGTTATGCTGTCTACAGCAGCAGAGCTGAGGGTGGAGGACACGAGGGACCTGGAACACAACATCAACGGGGCATTAGTGACCGAACCACTCTTACGTCACATCTGAACATTTCAGAAGGAAACCTACATCCACTCAGACGCCTTCAACATCTCATATCATCAGTTTATTCACTATAGTTCAGACAATGCTAATTAAACATGACGAGCGATCAGATCAGTGGATATTTGACTAGTTTTGTCCAACCCTCACGCATGAGTTATGTTGAATATCTGTCAGCTGGTAAATTTAACTCCACAATTAGATAATACCAGTTTAGCTCAACCAGTGACCAAGCAATGCTTCATGTTGTTCAGTGTGTGTGTGTAAAAAGAGGTCACAGAAAACACACTTTAGCAAAACATGATTAGCTCAAAGTGGAGGAATAAATGGCACTGCTAGTCTCTGTATGGAGAATATTCGGGTAAAATATGTCAGTTTACTTTATTTTGATACTGTCCTGCACACACTAGTAAAAAAAATATCAAAAATGACATCTGGTGTCTGATTTTTTTTTTGTTTTGACTGTAAATTATGTTTTTAAGCTTAAAGGCTAAGATTCTTGTGTGTATTCCAGTAATTTTGAGGATGGACAATATCTGGAGGGAATAAAAAATTGAAAAAGTTGAAAAATAAAGCTTAACAGCCAAAGGTTTCCACATCTGTGAGCTTAAAAGCTCATTAATCATAAACGTTTATCATTTTAATATAGTACTATGACGAATGCAGGTGTTTCCCAACACTATGAAGTTGTTTTTTTTAAGTAGAACTGGTTCTCAATGCCCAACCCTTGCTGGAGGGAAAATAAAACTTCCCTGATCTTAACCAGTTGTGATTATCAGCATTATAAACCAGTTTATCCAGCCTCTAAACTGCCCAAGCTTAGTCCATTAAAAAACACCCTACACATTTCCTTCTCCAATATTTACTAACCCTAAACTCCTCCTCACAACTATATTTAACCCAGTTAGTAAATCGGATCTGGGCAGAAATTTCCCCGCCCTTCCCGACAACATTTCCTAATATGGTCATAAGAACGGTTAGTCCCGCCCCTTTGTTCCTGAAAATGATGACGTATTTCTGACACCTCGCGCCATTTCCAGCGCTCACTATGGGGTCGCGGTCACGCGGAAAGAGCGCGCGCGCCATTTTGTGGTGCCACGTTGCCGTTTAAAAAGTCCCGATTGTTTATTTTATGGATAAGCGCGTGTCTGTCTGTCAAAACAAACGAACCAAAACAAACGGATATCGCTTGAGAACACACTATAGTCAGCAACACCGCATTGTTGAACGTCAAACTCGGTTAGTTCATTAAATACAACAGCTTTCCAAAAGTTGGATGAGTTTATGATAATCCGTATTATTATAACACTATACATCAAACGTCAAGAGATGAGATATACTTACGCCATTTTGCCAAAAAGAGCCAGTGCACTTGACCTCTGCACTGCCGGATTTGCCGCCGCGTTTGTAGCCGCTGCAAGCCGCTAAACTGCCATGATTCCCGCGGGAGATGTCGCTGCGTGAGGAGAGATAGACCGCCAGAGAGAGAGAAAACGTAGGAATGGCTGCGCTTCCGGTTATATACTCACACAGCACACCCACACTGTGACCTTCCGCCGCGCTCAATCTCCTCGTGTCGCTCCGCCCGTGTGTGGATGATGATTGGTTTCTGAGCCTGTCAAAATCTAGCAAACAAATAGTACCTAAATATTTACGTTCTCGAGGTAGATAATAGCATTTGATAGATAATGCAAATAAATAATATTTAGCCATGAGAGATTGGCAAAGAAGTAATTCCACTTTTAATGATTATTCCTGCTCATTTATATGTAACATTTTTATTTATTCTTTTTCTCACGTGAAAAGGGTAAAAATTTTAACCTTTAGTTTTGTCACGAAAAATCACGCGATAAAACAAACCTTAAATGACGCGAAACAGCACTCGCACCAATGGGCTATATGCACGCATAAGTTCCGCATTTGATGTAAGGATGCTCGTCCATTTCCGGTTGTGTAGATTAAAGCAGAGGAAAACCGGAGAAAACGGGATTATGGCAGAGTCTTCAATATTTACTGTCCTCCCGTCTTTGAAACGAAACGTACATACGTTTAGATGTAATTTTATATATAGTTATGTTTATTTAATATAATTTAAAAAAGAATCATAAACACAACGAGGGGTGTCTGTTTTATCTTTTTTTGTGACTAACGTTTCTTTATTATAACCATGGAGTATAAAATTCAATATAAATTCTCAGTATTGCATTGGACTCTATGATCGGCGGAAGTTATCGAGCATCCTTAATCCTTCACCGGAAATAACGCCGTGCATAGAGCCCATACCCAGCGAAGAAGACGAAGAACACAACACGCGAATATGGCCATCAGAAAAAATTGCAATAAAAGAAAAAATAAGATTTAATAAGATTTTCATCGCCCGCTAATCTCCCACGATTTGCACGCGATAACACCCTGACCTGTTGGCGAGCTCGATGTACAAATCAGGCTTAAAATCATGTAATGTGGTGTCAACTAGGCTTAATCAAAAGTTTTACACACACTTGCAGTCTTTACGCCTACATGAACACTTGGGCCAGATAGAGGAAATACGTCATGCAAGTAGACAAGTGGGCAAGAGCAAAGACAGCAAGTTTGGGTATTTGGACAAGGCATTTGTTTTTATAAATCACAACTCATGTGTGGGAAGTACGGCTCTTTCGGGGTCTGTTTTGTGCGACACTCCGGTTATGAATGAGGCCCAGATCCAGGCCATATACTTGACAAGTTGTCAAGTTGTATTTATGAGTTACAAGGATGTGAACGCTTTTTAAAAGTTGGAATCTCGTAATCATGGTAATAATATGTTATGGTGTAAAATTTAACAGGCGCTAAAACGCTGTTTGGAAATTGCACATTGAATCTAAACTCTGAGTTTGACCCCCATGTTTACAGGAATCCACTGGTCTGACTGGTTCAGCTGGTCCTGATCAATCATCAGTCTGGCACTGCAGAAAGCCTTTCACTTTAAATGCACAATCAAAAGGTTGAACTTTCATAAACATCCTGATAATCAATCAAGATTACAGATTCTCTCAGCTTGCAGGGCTCTGGAACACAATGCCTCGTTCTCGGCGCTGGGTGAGGAGGAGCAGATCAGAAATCATTCAAAACAACTGAAGATCAAAGGCACGGATCAACTAAAGCCCAGATTAGAAGGAGAAACACCGATCCAGCAGCATTTCTAATGTCCAAAAGTGTGTTTCTGTTTGGAGTTTTATTCTTCTCTTTTAGATTATAATAATAAGTATTTCAGTGAAAATTTGATTCATATCAACAGCATTTGTAAAAGTATATTGAAGCCTTTATATTTCTTTATATTAGCCTAATAATGATATTTTAAGTATAGAAATGAAGAGTTCAGATGCAAAAGCCTCTAAATGCCATTTGAAATTTTCTTCTAAAATGACCATTTTTATCAAGCTTGTATTTTTAAGTTCAGTAATTTCACTTAAATGACAATTAATAGGTAATCTTCATTGCCATTTAAGTGAAATTACTGAAATTAAATATACAAGCTTGATAAAAATGATCATTTTAGAAGAAAATTTCAAATGGCATTTAGAGGCTTTTGCATCTGAACTCTTCAAATATACATGCCGTAATAAACATAACATTTAAAGCTGCAGTCCGTAGCTTTTTTGGGATAAAAATGATCCAAAATACATTTTTGAGCAAGTATGTGTTCAAAACAGTGCTCTCGAATGGTAGTTGTACTATGTTTGGCTTTAAAAAAAAAAATACTGATCTAAAGTGACAGTGAATAGCCTATGCAATGATTGTTTCAAATAAATGCTTCTTTCAAACTGTCTGTTCATCAAAAAATCATGAGATATAAAATGCATGACGGTTTCCACAAATCTGAAACACTGATAATAATCATAAATGTTTCTTGATCATTTGATCGTCATATTAGAGTGATTTGACTGAGAAGGATCATGTGACACTGAAGACTGGAGTATTGATGCTGAAAATACAGCTTTGATCACAAGAATAAATTACACTTTACTAGGCCTATATATTCACATAGAAAACAGTCACTGTAATATTGTTTCACAATATTACTGATTTTATCGTATTTGTTATTAAATAAATTCTGCTTTTGAGAGCATAAGGGCCACTTCTCACAGAACTGCGCTGCTTTAATACGATTAAATAATACGAACTTTAATACGATTATCACACCGTGTGTGCGTTGATAAGTGGACAGCATTGCTGAGTATTTCCTCCTTAAAACTGCAGTGAACCAAAGGCAGTCTCAAAAACACGCTTTGAAATCGCTGGTAGATCTAACCAACGTGTGATCGTCAACCAGTGGATCTCTGAGTGAGTGAGTAGGGGCGGGGCTCATTTGCATATTCATACTAAACGAGGCAAGGGTGTCGAGTTACATTCAAAATATTTTCTCTCTCAAGAAAAAAAAAACATTTAAATATGTAATTTTGGTGATCAAAAAATTACCTCTAGAACAAAAGGACTTGTGTTAAAGCTGCAATCCGTAGCTTTTTTTGGGTTAAAAATTATGCAAAATATATATACTTGAGAAAATACATAACCAGCCAGTGTTCAGAACTGACGGAAAAATACAACATTTACTCACAGTCAGACTCAGATCGGCACTCTAGCGTCTTTATTTCTTAACTAATTAACTTCACTCAGTTTACAAGGTTGTCTAAAGGACACAGGAGACACTCGTCCATCCAGAAACGCTTCATTCTCCTGTTCGATGACGACGGCGAATGTGTTGGTGGGCTTTTAGGCAAACGATTCGTGACGTTAGTTTCCCTCGAGGGTTTGTGATGAACAACAAGGTGTTCAATGGTGAAGCATGAAAAGAAATGGTTACACAAGTTGAGGAAAACATTTTCTACAGACAAGTTATTTCCATAAAACACAATATCTGTGATCCAGCATGGATTCCCGGCATTAATATCACTGTCCTGCGGGATAAAGTCCTCACAGACGTCACAGATTTGAGAAATACTCCTTCTGGAACTTCTGGAACTCGTCCTCCGTGAAGACGGACTCCTCCACCGCCGGCTTTCTGGCGGGTCGATCCGGTTGATGACAAGCGCGGCGACTGGATTTCTGCTCTACGATCTAAACAAAACATACATTTTTGAATCATTTAACATATACGTAATATATCATCACTGATTGAATAGGGCTTTTCACACTGTTTAACCCTGGGTTATCCTCGTTCTGAAACCCGCTTTTAACCCTGGGTAGAGGAGTGTTTTAGCGGAGACGGATTAGCGCCGGTTTAGCATTGTGATGGCACACTTGTGAGGAGTTTAGGCTAAGAACGATAACTATAACCATAACAATAACTATACTAGCAGCCGTCCACACCATTGTGCGATTTCTCTTTAAACGCTCGCGCTCCTTAAAGCACGATGGATTCTGATTGGCTGTCAATGTTTTTATCATTCATTAGCTGAAAAAAAGTGATTTCGCCAATTTCGTTCTTCTGTGGTGTGGGATATTGTTTTATATTAAGAAAAGTTATCGTCCATGGTTTGAACGGATCTTTAGCAGGTTACGACTAGATAACGACTGTCTGTTGCTTAGCATTAGCATGTTCCCATTTGCTCAAATAGTAAAAAAAACGTTCAAAAAGAGGGAAAAATAGAGAGATTGATAACGCAGTCAGAAGACAGAGAGATGTTCTCTCCGTCAAAAAAGCGATGTTATAGTCAAGTTATTTGTGATATATTAAACCATCGAAAAAAGGAAATCATTCTAGTAATTGACGGTTTGTGTTATGCATGTCAAAAGAAAATTCGCTGCTAAAAGTAACTCCAAATTTCTTAATTTTCCAGTCAAAATGGCACGTTTTTTGAAAGAGACCACAAATATTTTAATACATATCCAGATTGATTTTTCCCAGATTGTGATTTGCACGTAAACACGTAAAAAAAAAGCTACCTTAAAGAAGTTTAAATACCCTTGTGCATCCTTATGGACATTTTTGTCCTTTTCAGTTTTGTTTTTTTGATCACTTTGTCTGTGTTAAAGCTGACTGCAAAAAACTTGACACAGGTGTGTATTTTTATTGGAATTTTACTATTTCACCATCATTTTCTTAAAAAAAATTTTTTTTTTGCATTAGGTACAAAAAATACTCCCTCTCAGCACCTTTTGGACAAAAATGTCCCCATTGAAACTGCCATTTTTAATCCCCGGTTCAGTTAACTATAAAATTATGCAATCTTTGTTAAGAGGCTTTTATTCTGATGGCAAGGCTTCAAAATTTTATTTTTTACTATTTTTTATCAGATGGTGCCATTTTTTTTTTAAAGTTTGGCTTATAAAGCAAATATCGCTTATATGGTTCGGCATACTACAGAGCCAACTGGATAAATTATGCAACAATATTTGTGTGGGTGTGTTGGTATGGATGTCAGAGTGTGGTTAGTATGTGTGTTATAAAAAAAATGTGTGTGTGTGTTTGTAATACTGAGAGAGAAAAACTGCAAATTCAAATGCAGTCACTGTGAGCTCCAGTGGGGTTTTGCTGCCACCCAATGGGGGAAATATGTTACTACGCCCAAACAAACTGTTACCCAAAGCTCATTTTTTGAGATATCATCCTCAAATTTGGAACACAACCTATTTAGATTTATGGCTTTGATTTTATTGCAGTTTTGAGTTCAACCTGATTTATAAAACATATATTTAACGTAAAATATTTGTTATAAATAATTTTTATAAACTTATACCTATATAACTTTTTTTTGGATTTACTTATTATTATTTTTTTTACTTCAGCAATAATCTGCAAAGGGTCTTCTTTAAAATGGTACCAAACTTAAGTATGTGCTCCAAAGCGTCACAATTTTTATGACAGTTTTTTGGCATGGACATTTTTGTCCTCTTTTTACCTATGTGTAACTTTTTTTAATTGATGCACAAGGGTTAAGTTGATTAGAAGTCATATAATAGTGTAATTTATATTGTTATTAAAGTACATGACAAAAAAAAAATGATGCTAATGACCGTTAAACCGCATTATCGCAGTCTGTGAAAAGTGTCCTTTATATGAGTCATGTGATGTGGTGCGTTTGTCCAATCAGTGACACTGACACATGAATATGCAAATCAGTACGTTAACCCAGATGCTCAGTGTTACAGCTGCAGTGTACGAACACACAGTACAGGGTTATCTATCTGCAGTGTGAGAAGCCCTGTGTTCGGCTGGAGAGACTCAGACCTTGGTTGCGTGGCTGCTCTGAGTTTTACTGGCGGACGACAGGAAATACTTCAGATTTAATCCCAGTTTGCTCTTCTTCTGTTTCTTTCTGTATTCATCTGAGAAAAGCAGAACATGGGTCAGCTGGCGTAACGTTACTGACGGAGCGATGAGGTTTGGGGATGAGAGATTTACCCAGAGCGGAGCGGACGGGTTTGTCTTTGACGGTGTTTGTGCTTCTCCGCGAGGATCCTCCGGGTCTCTGGATCTGCCGGATCCGCTTCTGCACGCCCTGTTTATCGGTGCCGATCCGCTTCATCAGCGCACTCTTACGAGAGCTGCTCTTCTTCGGCGCCGCATCTAACAACAACACTTCTGGATATTATCAAGCCTTTGATTTCACACAATAGCAACTACAAACTTACCCTGGATGGTGAAAAAAAGTATACTTTATTGCATTTGAAATATATTCTAGCTTTTAAAAGTACATTACAAATATAATAACAAAAAATTGTGCCATCTTTTCATCTTCATGTTTTCCATTTTCACAATACAACTTTTAACACACTTTAAAATAAATGTACTTTACTATACACACAAACATACACACATATATATATATAATATTATATTAATATATTTTAGAAAATTACACTTGAAGTGAAAACTCTTGTTTTAAAGTGTATTTATTTGCACTTTACTTAAACTGCACTTTAGTATATTTTAACTGTTTGCTGAAAATTATCAATGTAATTCATTATATTATTATATACAAAATTCGTTAATAGTATATTGTACAAAGTATGGCCAAGTAATATTTGTTTATTATTGTAGACAAAGTGTGCAATTTATAGTATTTGAACATACAAATATAATACACTTATGGTATATTGCTACACTCGTCGTATTTAATTTGTAATGTTCTTATAACACAAATAAAGTAAACTTTAATATCACTAATCAAATATGTAATTAGTCCCTACACAATTTAGGACACTAAATACACTTAGTTATGCTTTGCTACAATTTAATTACAACTAAAATATACCTGGTACAAAATTAGTTGTTGGTGTACAACACTTGAAGTAACGTTACACGTAATTAGTCTGGCTGCAAGTATGCTTAGCATATTATTATTATTATTTAATACTAACGTTAGCCGTCTAGATCAAAAGTCGACCAGTTACCTTTCTCGGTGAACAGTTCAAGTCCTCTTCGGATCAATGATGCTGACATGGTCAAGCTGGTGAAAATAAATGTAGACAAACATAGAATAAAATAAAGCGTTGGATATGTTCAAGCTAACATGTGAATTCTCCGTGTGCGCCACAACAAAGAGTCGGTCAGGAAACACGAGCTCCGAAACAACGTTCCGACTGTCGATTACAGTAAAGTAGGGCTAGAACGCTCTCAAAACTTCTCTCAAACTTCATATAGTAATCTGGTCTAATAATAATGGTCTCAAAACGTTAGCACAAAAACTAAGGAACAAAAAAGTAACGTTTATTTTCGTTAGGGTTAGGGACATTCTGGTCAGAGAACATTCACATCTATCTATCCTAGACACATCTATCTATCTATTTGTCTCTGTCTGTCTGTCTGTCTGTGTACAGAATACAGAAAGGAAAAGAAAGCATATATCACAAAGAAAACAAAAAACAAAAGTAGAAATGTGAACATAGGACAATCTCCTTAGAGAAAAATGAGAAACTGCTTTTCTGTTGTTCACGAGTGATGATGATGATGTTGATGATGATGATGATGATGATGTGAAGATTGAACAGGTCGTTTTGAGAATTTCAATTCTGATCTGAGAAATGCACCAAAGTGACTGATAAAAACTGTAATGACATTTAGATGACATTATGACGGACATCTGAGTGTCTCGACAGGTCTTGTGACAGTGATGATAATCTCGTGTTTTTGAGGTCAGCAGGGGTTTCGACAGTGTTGAAATCGTACAGTCGCTTGACCAACACTGGTTTGTTTCAACACAGAAATCAAAAGGGCAAAACAAAGGGGATTTTGAACATTCATGTAGAATCTCTGAAATATATGAAACTACTGAAGCTTTTTTATTACAGTATTATGGGCATTTACTGAAAACATGGCCGGTCGTTTACGTAAACGATCAGAAATCTACAGTTTATGAAATTATTCACCCCCCATTGCAAAACTGGTTTATTGACAAAATGTACAGACTTTCAGATGTTTTTGCAATGAACAAATCAAACAAAAGTAATTGACATATAAGCCTATAGTGTATTATCTGTTGTTGCACCGATGTGTACACCGTGCACACATGATGTACAGCATCCCGAAGGGGGCGCTAGAGTTAAAGGTCTGAGCACATATTCTCAATCAATCAATCATTACAAAAATCAGTGCAAGTTCAAGTATTTTTATAATTTATTAACAAACTACAAACTGTAGAAAACAAGTAAATGCAAATTCAAATTCAAAAGCGTTTTTGAAAATACAAAACAAGTCCATGTAGCCAACATTAAAAATGTGATGTAAAATGGGTTTTGAAAATACACGTTTAAAACAAATTGGCCTTATAATGTAGGCTAAATTTGTTGCAAATTGCCTGATTAGATCTACTAAAATGTATTAAAAACTTGTATCAATTTTGAAGAAACTAGTCATAGACATACACATTCATATTAGGGGGGGAAAATGATAAATGCATTCCCGTTCGTAGCATATTCAGGTCAAATCACCGAAATAACGTCATTTAGGAAGAGGAAAACGCATTTCTGTGCCTGTGACGGAGATTTTAAGGAAAGAAAAACGAGGGGATTTTTAGAGGAGCTTTATTTCTGACAGAAGTGAGACGCGGTTTACAGAAGCGAGAAACAAACCGCAAGGATTTTACCATTGTGATCTCTTCAAACGAAAACACACACAGAGAGAGACAGAGATAAAGATATAACGAAAAGGGAAACCCTATGTCTCAAAAGCCTTGAGTAAATCAAGGTCTGAAAGTTTGAGCTCCCGCTGGACGACGGAGAGATGGAGGAGAGCAGGTCAGTTTCTTCATGTGTTTATTGAGTTATTAGGGAAACGAGAAACGATGGTCATTTTCCGAAATATTAATATCTCAGAAGCTGATGTCAAGCTCTCAGACTGATTTTAAATCGTAATTTTGACCCTGAAATGGGTCATACACGCAGTAATGAGCATTACCGGTTGAAACACACACAGCGCTGGTTCAGGGATGCGTTGACACAGTTCAGTTGAGTGAACATGATGAACCAAGCAAACTATTTCCACAACTTAACACTGAACTATGAGCCCGTAGTGTGTGTGTGTGTGTGTGTGTGTGTGTGTGTGTGTGTGTGTGTGTGTGACTGCTGGGATGGATGGTGTTTGTGATTAGTGGAAAGTTTTAGGGGACAGAGGATGTGACAGCAAAGGTGTGAGTGCTGGAGGATGTAGAGGCTCTCTTTTCTCGTAATCCACTGTGTGTGTTTGTGGTTTAGATATTTTTGGCGATTCTAGGAAGAAATAGCAACTGATAAATGGACTTTAATTCACCCCATCTTTGCTAGCTTGCTAATATTTTAGTGAAAATGAGAGTGGTAAATATCACCAGTAACTCGCTGAATGTTGAGAGAGAGAGAGAGAGAGAGAGAGAGAGAGAGAGAGAGAGAGAGAGAGAGAGAGAGAGAGAGAGAGAGAGAGAGAGTGTGTGTGTGTGTGTGTGTGTGTGTGTGTGGTAGCCTAATTCCAAACGTTTTTCACCGTCCTAAATGTCTAGAATAGATTAGCCTACCTGTTTTGCGCAACTTTAAACGTTATCTAAACCCTCTTTCGCTAGTGGTTTAATGAAGCGGTTATTTTGTTTTTGTTATCTTGTCAAAGTAAGTTAGGTCGGATGGTTTTGAGGGATGAACCCGTTTGGTTTGTGTCAGTAACATGTTGTGCTCGAGCATAAAGGTCATAATGCTGTTTATGAAGAAGTATCGGGTGTTTTTCTTCGGACGGACTTTACCGTTTCCCTCAGGGATGTTGATTTAATTGTGTTGACACGACCCGAAACACAAGCTGTGAAAGTTTCTCTCTGTTTCGGTTTCGCCTCAGTAATTTGTCAGTTTGGATCTCAATTCAGAGGTTGTAATGGCCGATATGAGTGACTGAAACACAAGCGAACTGCACACATCGTCAAGCAAAAGTTGTTAGCCTAGCCTACTTTAACATGTAAATTCAGAGAACTTCTCGATCTTGTTCTCTGTATGCTGACAGATAAGTTCTATTTATGTGTTTGTTTCCTCAAATCGGCTCTTTTTTGCCCAATGGACGTAAAACTCACTTTTTCCATAGACTTTTTCACGCCCACTACTGCTTTCACTTGAAAATGTTGACAAGTGACTAGATATTAGGATATTACCGAGGGCATTTTCGAATAATTGTATCTAAAACAAAATAAAAAATCATATATTTGCATAATTTAAAAAAATACAGCTTGATAATTTCATCTCATGAAACGTATCATTTAAAAAATATTTTGAAAATAAAAACATTTTCATTTTTGCATAATTTAAACAAAATTGATTGGAAATTACGTTACATGTATTTGGCCTACTGTAATTTCCAAACAAGCTGTTGTTTTGTTTATTTTCTTATTTAGCTTATTTCAAAATAAATTAATGAAATGTGACAATTTATGTGATATATATATATATATATATAATATTTATTAATAATTATTTTATATATATATAATTTAAAAATAAAATATTTATTTCACTTTTCTTTTCTCCCCATACACATAAATTGTCAAAATTAACTTAAAAAATTTCAAAATTAGTTATTACTTTGTTTTGATGTAATTTGTTTTGATGTAATAGTTAAAAATAATATTTGTGAGGGAAAAAATATGGTTTCTTATAATTTAAAGTTGCATAAAATGCGCTTAACATAATGTGCGCAGCACAAATAGACGAGGAAGTCTAAGACCGGCTGAGGGTTATGGAAATTCCCTATAAAGTTCTCATTTTCTTCATGTTTGACACTCAAATATTCAGCAATGGCTGTAGTGTGTTGTAGTGTTTTGCTGCTTTAGTATTTATTGATTATTTCACATGCTTGAAAACTGTAACAAACGAGTAATGCACTATTAATTAATCAATTAATATAGTATAATTAGTATAATTAAATAATGAATTATTATCTATCAAGAAACTCTGAATAATTAATTAATAAGTAATAGCACTGATTCAATAGTTGAATAGTTCACTATTAGATGATCATTACTGTTTTTTCAAACCTCCCGTGACTAAGAACTACTGGTTCATAATTGAATAATGAATAATGTGTTATCAATTCTAAAGTGAAGATCACAATTAGGATCTAAAGTGAAAACTCGACTGCCTGAAGTCATAGTGCGCTTTTGAGGTTTTTGTAAGGTTTTTGATAGTAATGACTCAAGCACTACTACATCCTTATATGAATCATTATCTGGATCAGTATTCTTGCGTTACTCACTTGTTCCTGTGTGTTCTAAACTAAAAGGTTCCAAAAAGGTATTTTTCATCCCCTTTTCTTCTACTTCAATGCCAATGTTTTGTTCACCAAAGAATCTCTCAGGGATCAGTTCTTAAAATAACTTTTTCTTTTTTAGCATGAAGAACATTTTAAAAATCTAAAGAAACATTTTCTACAGTAAAGAACTGTTTGTGAAATGGAAAGATTTCGTCATGGATGCCAATAAAGACCTTTATTTTTAAGAGTGTTGTGAAAGCATTCAATACATGCAAGAGTCAGTATTATAGTGTTAATCTTCTTCCTCATCATAACCTCTGCGATTGGCAAGCTGGATTTCAGATTTCCATTCTTGCCTAATTTTCAACACGAGGGCTGGGTAAATATAGGACAGAACACATGTTGGGCTAATTTTACTCAGCAAATTGGGTTGTTTATTTAACTCATCATACGGAGTTGATTCATTTTTACTATAACATTTATTAATGTTAACAGATTAACTTAAATCCTCTAAACTTAAAAAAATAATAATCCACGCAACCACTGGTTTGCATGATAATTCCTTCATTTTTGATCATATTATTCAGAAAAGCATATTTTAATAGTTTTGAATACATATTGCATACATTTATTTTATGCAAGTGCATTCCATCATGGGAAAAGATCAACGTGTCACATTTGACCATTTTGACGGAGCTGCACTCTCCTGAAGAGGTCACAAAAGGCATGTGAACCCAACCCCTGGGTTGTTACATCTGACCTAGGATCTGGGTTACACAAAAACTACCCAAACACTGGGTTCTTATGTCTGACCCAGGATCTGGGTTACACAAAAACTACCCAAACACTGGGTTGTTACGTCTGATCCAGGATCTGGGTTACACAAAAACTACCCAAACACTGGGTTGTTACGTCTGATCCAGGATCTGGGTTACACAAAAACTACCCAAACACTGGGTTGTTACGTCTGACCCAGGATCTGGGTTACACAAAAACTACCCAAACACTGGGTTGTTATGTCTGACCCAGGATCTGGGTTACACAAAAACTACCCAAACACTGGGTTGTTATGTCTGACCCAGGATCTGGGTTACACAAAAACTACCCAAACACTGGGTTGTTACGTCTGATCCAGGATCTGGGTTACACAAAAACTACCCAAACACTGGGTTGTTACGTCTGATCCAGGATCTGGGTTACACAAAAACTACCCAAACACTGGGTTGTTACGCCTGACCCAAGATCTGGGTTACACAAAAACTACCCAAACACTGGGTTGTTACGCCTGACCCAAGAGCTGGGTTACACAAAAACTACCCAAACACTGGGTTGTTACGTCTGACCAAAGATCTGGGTTACACAAAAACTACCCAAACACTGGGTTGTTATGTCTGACCCAGGATCTGGGTTACACAAAAACTACCCAAACACTGGGTTGTTATGTCTGACCCAGGATCTGGGTTACACAAAAACTACCCAAACACTGGGTTGTTACGTCTGATCCAGGATCTGGGTTACACAAAAACTACCCAAACACTGGGTTGTTACGTCTGATCCAGGATCTGGGTTACACAAAAACTACCCAAACACTGGGTTGTTACGTCTGATCCAGGATCTGGGTTACACAAAAACTACCCAAACACTGGGTTGTTACGTCTGATCCAGGATCTGGGTTACACAAAAACTACCCAAACACTGGGTTGTTACGCCTGACCCAAGATCTGGGTTACACAAAAACTACCCAAACACTGGGTTGTTACGCCTGACCCAAGAGCTGGGTTACACAAAAACTACCCAAACACTGGGTTGTTACGCCTGACCCAAGAGCTGGGTTACACAAAAACTACCCAAACACTGGGTTGTTATGTCTGACCCAGGATCTGGGTTACACAAAAACTACCCAAACACTGGGTTGTTACGTCTGACCCAAGATCTGGGTTACACAAAAACTACCCAAACACTGAGGTTGTTACGTCTGACCCAAGATCTGGGTTACACAAAAACTACCTAAACCCCAAAAATAACCCACGTAACCCAAGTGTTTTAGAGTGTGAGAATCCAAACGGTCAATGAGAGAGGACTGTCTGTTATGACTAACTGTCATTATCACTCGCCTCGTGACATGGAAATGCACGGATCGTCAGCACACCGCTCCTGTGTCGCCGGCTGAAGCTGCAGGATGTTCCTGTCAGTGTTTCCAAGCAGAATTCTGAAAGGACATCAAATGCAATAGGTTTTAGAAATGCATACAATATGAAATGAGAAATCCCACTCAGTCAAACGGTTTATATGTGTTTTGAAGGTAATACAGCCTGATGCAGATTAGCACATAATAATGATGTAGTTCAGCTAAAGATGAATAACTGTGTGTCGCAGAATAAAGTTCATCTCTAACTGAAGGAGATCGTGATGATGATTTAAGGTCATCCTGTGCTGGAACTGAACGTTATACAGCCATAGTTTCATTGCTGTAGGTTTTTATGAAATAGACATCAAAGCTCACGAGATATGCTTCACATATTATGGCATTGCTTTAGTATCAGCTTTTAAAGTTTTTATGGCAGCACCATTAGGTCAAAGATATTTTTTTCATTAAAGGTCAAAATGGAAATGTTGTTGATGAAACCTGTCCTAATTAGGCTGTTTCTTGCGATGGTTTAAAGAGTTAAGAGTAGACTACATTATTCCTTTATTACAACTTTAGGTCAAATTTATAGTATTTTTATTGACAATGACTGTAATTTATTCAGCCTTTCTTCACTCTTTAAAAGGTTTTGCATCGGTTCTGTGAAGAAACTTTAACTTGCACTGAATCTTTCCATTCCACCGAAGGTTCTTCATAGTGGAAAAGGGGTTATTGAAATGCTCTTCACAATAAGAAAAACTTGTTTATTTTAAGAATTGATGAATGAAAGAAACAAAAAATTCTGAAATACACTGTCTGTAAAGCTGCTTTGAAACAATATTGTGAATTGAATTGAATTGAAAAATGGTTGAAATTGTACTCCTACTTTTAAAACTGTTAACAAGCAGCTTGGCGGAATTTATTCAAGTTTTACATTTTTCATAATGTAATAGTGACCACACACACACACACACACACACATATTGAACCTAAAAAGAAAAAGCAGAAGATATTGGAAATAGAATACATATTTTAACCTCTGTATCACGTCACACACACATTTTGAAAGCAGCTTTACGATCCCATCCTGTGTTGCCTAACGCCTGATGGTGAAGCTGATGCAACGGCTGGTTTTACTCAGAGTAGAGGATGAGGATGAGGTCGCGTTCTTGGTACTGATAAATGCATGACATCACAGGACACGTTATTAGACGCATTCACTACATCTTACAATATATCTGTGTTTTGTGCATTTCTGAAATGAACAGAAGATCACTCATGGACATTTTCTGTAAAGCTGCTCTGAAATGATGTGTATTGTGGAAAGCGCTTTACAAATGCACAAATGTGAATTGAAAAGTTTCATTGAGCTCAACGATCATAGTTAATGATGTCTGATGAATTCTTCTGATTAATAAACATCATTCTACAGTTATTCCTGCTCATATGAAACATCCAGCGATATCGACAATAACTGATGGAGTTTTGTTTTTCTGAAAGAGTGAAATGAGAGCAGCACACACACCTGTGTGTGTGTGTTTCCTTCTCCTCGTCCCACACTGTGAGAGCAGGTGCAGCCCCTCGGATGTGTGTGTGTGTGTGCGGTCAAACGCTCTCACATACACTCCTTCATCTTTCACTCCATCAGTGGCGTTATCTCCCTCAAACCATGCACACAAAAACATTTAAGATTTCTTGCTTTGCAACCATTTATATAGAACCGTTTATTGCAATTATTAATAACTATTATTAGAATGCATGAGGCTTTACAGGAGTTGGAAACTTGCAGAAACAGTAAATTGTTGTTTTATCCCTGTCGCACGTCTGCATGCGTCTGAACGAGGCTCTGTGTTATTATATTATTATTATATTAATATATTGGCTTACACTGAATGAACACTGGATCCAGCTTTTATTAAACGTGTTGATGGAACTATTGCACTCATTAAACGAGCTGCGAGATAGATAGATAGACAGACAGATAGATAGATAGATAGATAGATAGATAGATAGATAGATAGATAGATAGATAGATAGATAGATAGATAGATAGATAGATAGATAGATAGATAGATAGATAGGTAGGTAGGTAGGTAGGTAGATAGATAGATAGATAGATAGATAGATAGATAGATAGATAGATAGATAGATAGATAGATAGATAGATAGATAGATAGGTAGATAGATAGATAGATAGATAGATAGATAGATAGATAGATAGATAGATAGATAGATAGATAGATAGATAGATAGATAGATAGATAGATAGATGCAGCAAAGGGGTTTTAGGAGCGTAACCACAAACTGTGGTCTATTCTCTGGTGCAAAGCTTCTCGGAAATATATGTGGCCATGACATACACACACACACACACACACACACACATACACATACACACACACACACACACACAAAAACACACAAAAACACACGCACGCACATACGTAATTTTTTTCCTGCAGTATATCACATATAGAATAAAGCCTGCAGTGTGTGTGTGTGTGTGTGTGTGTGTGTGTGTTGATCTGAATGGCCAGAAACAGCTTCCCACACACTTCTTGTTTCCTGCCCTGATCTTCAGTATAAATGTCACCTCAGCCCAGGCTGGTTATCCATGACCTGTTTTACGCGTGTGTGTGTGTGTGTGTGCGAGTGTGTGTGTGTGTGTGTGTGTGAGAGACAGCGCTCTCAGACTGGAACATGAGTGTGTGAGTGCAGCTCAGCGCCGGGACGTCTCCGTTCATCACACGTATGTAACACACTTTATTCACTCTGTAGAGTTATTGTAGAGAAATATCAGTGTGTGAATTATGATTATGAATGAAATTAATGAATATCTGAGAGGAATAAGAATCATCATCATCACACACACACATTCTCCTTCAATACGAATGAATGAAAGCTCAATTTCTTTTTTTGAGAGATTTGATGTGATTTCTACATCATTCCCGGTGTCATGTTCATGTTCATGTTCATCGGTTTACTCTTTTGAGCATATTTCTGAAATATGTTGCTTTATGATTGAGTTTAAACCATGAATAGTTTTCTTCATTTCTGGATTATTATTTACGGTTCAAGCAGGAGGAAAAAAATCAAAGAGGTTGAAAATATTCCACAGCATTGAATTATTTATTATATTATTATTATATATTACACACTGGCAATGATCGCTTCATAAAAGTGTTATGATTGACTTTAAACACTGAATAGGTTTCTTCATTTCTGCCGTTTATATATGATTATACATCATATATATATATATATAGCCTATATATAGCGTATATATATTTATATATATAGCCTATATATATACAGCCTATATATATATATATCATATCACACACTGGTAATGATGCATCATGTTCCCGTCATCATCACCAGGTCGTTCGTGTGTGTGTGACGACACTGAAGCCTGTGTCTCGTAAACCTTGTGGGTGATGAGTGTGTGTGTGCGGCTTTGGGTTTTTCCACCTATCACTCATTCGAGTGTGTGAGTTTGGAGGGGAATGAGCACACACACTTTATTCGTCATCAGTTCTGGCTTACAACTGCACACTTCATCTAATTAATATTCACGTAATCAAGTGTCTCTCTCTCTCAATTCAATTTTCAATTTCAAATTTATCACTATTAGCATGACTAATAAACGTTCTGTGTGTGTATGTGTGTGTGCAGTGTGTGATTAGGGCTCTTTTACCTTCAGCGATTGGTTTTTATCTCTCTTCTTTCTTCAGTCGAAACGAAATTAAGTTTTTGATGAAAACATTCCAGGATTTTTCTCCATATAATGGACTTCAATGGGGTCCAAACGGTTCAAGGTCCAAAAGACAGTTTCAGTGCAAACTGTTCAAAGGGCTTTAAACGATTCCAGACGATGAATAAGGGTCTTATCAAGCGAAACGATCGCTCATTTAATAAATAAATAACAAAGTTTAAGTTTTATAAGCTCAAATGCTCGCCTTGCTGTTCTGTGATGCGCGTTCGTGACTCTCCTGTTCATCAAAACGAACAAATCTTTTTTCGAGTCATTTCGTTCATTCAACAGACGCCATCTGGAATCGTTTAAAGCCCTTTGAACAGTTTGCACTGAAACTCTCTTTTGGTTCCCATTGAAGTCCATTATATGGAGAAAAATCCTGGAATGTTTTCATCAAAAACCTTAATTTGTTTTCGACTGAAGAAAGAAAGACGTGGACATCTTGGATGACACGGGGGCGAGTAAATTATCAGCAAAAGTTTTTTTTTTTTAAAAGTGAACGACTCCTTTAACGAGGTATTGTGTACTCTATGTGAGAGAAATTAATTGGTGGTGACGTTTTATTCATATGTGTGTGTATATAAAATTCTTTTTGGGTGAAGTGTGAATAATTCAAAACTGAATTGTTACAATAAAGGTGTATTAAAATTTAAATAAAATCTCTCTCTGTCAGATTTACAGATGTGTGCTGAGAGGAAAACAGCATCATGCAGACTCTGACGATGATGATGATGACGATAATGATGATGTCATTCCTGTATTCAGCGCTTGCACATCAAAGTAAGAACTACAGACCAGTTGTGTGTGTGTGTGTGTGTGTGTGTGTCACTCAGCAGATTAAGCTTGTGTTGCTCTCTCTCTCCAGCTCTGGAGTGTTATAATGATTTTAGAAACATCTTCACGTGTGTGTGGGACACACACTCTCTGCACATCCGACCCGACACCAGCTGCACCCTCATCGTAACGGTTACAAAGCAACAAAAGTAAGGAAACTTGAGTTCATAACTTTCACAATATTACTGTTTTTTTAATCAAATAAATGCATCCTCGGTGAGCAGAAGAGACTTATTTTAAAAACATTAAAATCTTACCGATGTCACCTTCTGGCTGGTAGTGTATATTACAAACAAATGGGACATAAATTGTTCAGTGTGTTTGATCTTAGTAAATCAGTAAAGAACGCGCAGATGTTGGCGGACCCGACCCGGACACACATTCGCTCCGCCACCGTGGATTTTAACTTAAAGGTGAATTGTCCATCATCCACTGAGTAAAAACATGAACATGTCATGTGACACGTCATACAAAAGTGTATTAATGCTTTCTCTTCTGCTGAAGAGGGGTATAATAACGTCATTCGCCCAGCTGGAGGAAGAGGTTCGATGTGAAAATTACTCCGAACCTTTGGCTAAAATCGCACCGCATGATGTATCAATGACCGGTGAGTCAAACACAATCACACACACACACGACTCACACGAGCATCAGTAGTTGTGGGAAAATTATATTCACACAAAAAAAAAAAAAAAATAGGTTCTGTTCTAGGTTCAATTTATTTATTTTTGTCAATGAATTGAATGTACTATATTTTATGTTTTTTATTTAATATTTTGTAGTACTAATACTAAAATATATTTGTGCTGAATTTATAGTCCATTTATTCACTTTTTGAGCGTAGACCTGAAAATTACGTTTTCAGCTTAATTAAACTGACGTAAATCTTGAATGCTTTATTTATGAATCCTGGAATCATCCATTCAGATCTAATGTCAGGTCCAGGATCAGTGCTTCTACACCAGTGTGTGTGTACAGCTCTGATATTAGGATAACACACGGCTAGTTTCAGTGGTGCAGGAGGACTGTGTGTGTGTGTGTGCACACTGTGTTTGTACAGGCAAGCGTGTCTCTTGAGTGATCATTGCCTGACATTGAGTGGTGTGTGTGTGTGTGTGTTTCAGTAGTGAAACTGGCTCCTCCTCAGAAAGTGGAAGTCCGCGGGCTCAACGCTTCCTGGACTATCAATTCAACATTACACACACCAATGTTTGAGGTCCAGTTCAGAACCGCTTCTCAGAGCTGGACGGTGAGCATCTCAACCGCATTCACACGATTTCTCTATACTCTACACACACACACACACACACACACACACACACACACCTTAAAGTGCCTGTTTGAGCTGCGGGTGTGATATTACTCATAAATATCAGAGTAACAGAATTTGAAAGATAATAAAGATATTGTTTGATAAGTAGGGCTGCAACAAACGATTATTTTGATAATCGATTAATCTAACGATTAATCGTCGATTATTTTGCCAGCTAATCATTAAGTCTGGAACATTTATTCAGCTTTTACCCCATTAGTTAAAACATTGAGTTATACATATTCTTACTATAATATAAAAAAAGAAAATCAGTTCAGCTTTTGAAATAGTGGTTTTAATAAACTTAGAGCCAACTAAACAGGTCATTCTCTTTAAGTTTAACTCAAATCACACACAAATGCTCTCTAAGCATTGTTTAATAAGCCCACTGCTTTTGATAGAACTGAAACAGAAAAAGGGTCATTACTTCAGGACACAAAAAGGGTAAAATATTAATCTTCAAACCATTATTATAGATATAAAATTACAATCGTTTTTTTTACATGAGAATTGAGCTGACCGAGATGTTCTCACCGGCTCCTCTTTTGCCGGATGTTTCCAACATGCATGTTGTGCTCCCGTGAAGAGCAAGTATTGCATGTATTGCACATGACAGAATTATTGGTTTTAAGTTTTGTAAAACTTTGCTAAACCTTTTTTTCTTTTCTTTTTTTAACTCTCGTTTTTTATTGCAAAAACACAGTACAAAAAAGTAACAAAATATACATTACAATATACAAAACAATGACATTAAAATAAAAACAAAACAGTTTTGCCAGGGGAAGCATAAGGGCCATCACAAAGAAAAAAAGGACCATATGTTGACAGTTTTGATTGCCTTTTTGTTGTTGGAGCCAGAAGTCAGCTTAATATAATGTACAACATCGTTGAAAAAAAGTACAAAGTTAGGTTTTTTAGCACTGAATTTACATTTATGAATATGAAGTTTCGCCAAAATAATTAACAAATTAAACTTTGCTAAACCTTGCTAGTTCGGATTCGTTTGCACTCCGTCATAATTCGCGCTGTTTTTTCTTTTACCGCGTTTGGGCTGCATTACACTCTAGCGCCAAAGCGCCGTAGCGGTCAAATCGCGATATTGCACGCCCTTACATTAGGTCACGTGAGATCAAACGATTACTCGACAACAAAGATATTTGTCGACATTTTTTTTATGTCGACAATGTCGACTAATCGTTGCAGCCCTATTGATAAGTGAGAGAGCTCTGATTGAAGTCCTTAAAAAGTCAATTTTACAGGATCTGTCCGAACCCTGTGTTTAGCTAAAAGTTTGTTTTACGTTTGATCTGAAGAGTGTGTGTGTGTCAAGTGTGTACGTGATTGTAAAACAAACAGAAGATCTTTAGATGCAGATTCAGAATTCACTCATAGAAATTATTCTGTCCGTGTGTGTGTGTGTGTGTAGGATGTGAAGATAGGACAGACTGAAGCAACTCATCTGGATCTTCCGGAGGATGATCTGTACTTACAGGAACGCTACGTGATCCGCGTGAGAGTCAAGCTTGATCTTACATTCGCGAACTGGAGCGACTGGAGTCAGGAGTACAGCTGGACATCGGAAGTGGGCCGGACCCGCCCCACACCAGGTGACACACACACACACACACACACACACACACACTAACACACACACACTCCGGTGACACTAACACTCAGGCGCTGTGTGTCCTCAGGCGTCCCCGTGTTGCTGCCGCCGGATTGGTCAGTCGCAGGATTCACACTGACAGGATTCACTCTGGTTCTCGTATCGGTGTGTGTTCTCATCTTCTGCGACAGGAGAAAGAGGTGAGAGACGCTGATAACACACACTCCATAATCCAGAACCAGATAACGATAAATCTAAACGATAACTATGATAATGATAACGAAGAACCTATAACTATAAAGATAAACATAATAACTACTGTAACAATAAGTATGATGTAATGGACTGAGAACAAAGACGTGACCTGGCTCTGGTGTTGACGAGTATCGCTCTTCCCTCAGCCTAAAGAAGAACTGCTCGCGGTACATCCCTGATCCCGCCATGTTCTTCGGAGATCTCAACTCTCGACACGGAGGGAATTTCACGGTGAGTTTACGCTTGTTGATGATCATACTCTGTTCATCGGTTGGCCAGCAGAACTGGGTTCTCCATTCTGTCACCGACGGGGTTTCGCTTCCTTCACTGTCGCCTTCTGGCTTGCTTAGCTCAAGACATTTAATATAATATTCAACATTATTATTAATCTTCGGCATTGACAGCCTTAAATGAGAACATAACATATATATACTGTAAATGAACTAAATTATTAACTTTTTTACAACAAAAATGACCCATCACTGAACTTACTTAAACTGGAATATGATGCTATCTTTGTTTTTATCTGCTGTACAAGAAAAGAAAATTAGGGGCTTTAGGGGCGGGTAGTTAGAGGAACTTAGTTATAGGACCTATAGCACTGGTTTAGGCCGACTCTGGAGGAGGAGGAGGAGGAGATCAGTTCCTCCTAAACGAGTTCCTAGAACTAAAATCGTTCCTAGTTCCGAACGAGAGCTTCCGCCGACAGTTCTAGGAACTATGAAGTCGTTCCTCCGGTGCGAAAGCCTTCGTGTTGCATTATTTTCTTTTCCTTTGAAAAGCGCCATATAAATATCTGCTGCATTGACAGCATTATACAAGAACTGAACTGGATGATGACATCACTGTTTAGTCCAGACCGGCTATATATAGATATATTAAATAACTAAATTAATAACTTTTTTACAACAGAAATGAAACATCACTGAGCTTACTTAAAGGAGTAGTTCACTTTTAAAAAACTTTTGCTGATAATTTACTCGTCCGAGACGTCCATGTCTTTCTTTCTTCAGTCGGTTTTTGATGAAAACATTCCAGGACTTCAATGGGAACCAAACGGTTCAAGGTCCAAAAGAGAGTTTCAGTGCAAACTGTTCAAAGGGCTTTAAACGATTCCAGACGACGAATAAGGGTCTTATCAAGCGAAACAATCGCTCATTTAATAAATAAATAACAAAGTTTAAGTTTTAGAAGCTCAAATGCTCGCCTTGCTCTGTTCTGTGATGCGCGTTCGTGACTCTCCTGTACGAACTCCTTCATCAAAATGAACGAATCTTTTTTCAAGTCATTTGGTTCATTCAACAAACGATGCAAGGCGAGCATTTGAGCTTACAAAACTTAAACTTTGTTATTTATCTTTTAAATGATCGCTCGTTTCGCTTGATAAGACCTTTATTCATCGTCTGGTGTCGTTTAAAGCCCTTTGAACAGTTTGCACTGAAACTCTCATTTGGACCTTGAACCGTTTGGACCCCATTGAAGTCCATTATATGGAGAAAATCCTGGAATGTTTTCATCAAAAACCTTAATTTCTTTTCGACTGAAGAAAGAAAGACATAGACATCTCGGGACGAGTAAATTATCAGCAAAAGTTTTTTTAAAAGTGAACGACTCCTTTAAGCTGGACTGTGACGCTATTCTCTTCTAAAAACAAACTTTGTTGCTTTATTATGTCTGTAAAGCTGCTATGAAACAATATGCATTGTATATGTGTAAAGCTTGACGTCTGACTCGCGTTCTCTCCTGCAGTCTTGGCTAGGGCCGTTTTTAGCGCATGAGAGCTTCATCAAAGTGGACACGGAGTGTGTGAGTCCCGTGGAGGTCCTGAAGCCAGCGGACGCCGGGGATTCCCGAAGCTCACCCCGAGACCGAGACAGCGGCGGCCTGCAGGACCGATGGGACGGAACCAGCAAATCCTCCAACTTCTCAAACTCCACCTACTTCTTGTCCCAGACCTCGAAGGGGGCGATCGACACCCTGGAGCCCTGCTCGACGGACTCCTCCTACGGGCCAGCAGGGGGCGTCAGCGGGCCGGACCCGGGTCACGCTCACGTCACTCGTGAATCTGAAGAGAAGGAGCTTGAGCTGAAGACCCTGGAGAGGCTCCGGCAGGACACGCAGAGCCCAGACTCGGGTTTCGCCGGCGGGGCCGAGGACAGCATGGAGGAGTCGGACCTTCCCAGTCCTCTGGCGTTAAACCTGACCCGGCTCCTGCCACAGGGCCTGCCGGCTCCTCATCCCATCATGCACCTGGGCTTCAAGCACACGCCTGGTTTCAGCTGCGCGTTTCCGGGACTAATGGAGCTGGACCTTCAGAGCCCGTGTGGGATGATCGAGCCCTCTAGTGGCGATTACATGCCAGTGAAGAGTGTGCAGAATTAGCATTGTTCACGGTTCAGACTGAAGAGGTCATGGATAATCAGGACTCGCTGAGCTGGAGTCAGAAACGCTCAGGGCTTGACATTAACACCAGCAATTTACATTTTGCAAAAGCCATCTCATCAAAAGACATCTGAAATAATAAACTAAGAGCAAAAATATAGATTTTTCTATATGTGAAAGGCTTCCAATGATCATTTTCCTCAGAATAGATACCGAGCGTCAGGGTCATGTTAGTCGAGCTCGCATCAGTGACATCAGCGGATCCACGTCTACTATAGGAAGACAACGCATATCAATGTATATATAAGATCGTTTGTTTCTCAGGAGCTCGTTACCCTCCTCCCTCCCCAGCTCCCTTGTTACATATATTTTAGTATGTATAAATTGGGTATCTTTTGAAAGCTTAAGAGCTCAGAATTCATCCTCTGAAAACCGTTTTGAAATTGGACGCTGTGTTACCATAGAAACGGTGCTCCAAATTCTTTTATCGGCTCCTCCCCTTTTGGCCGTAATCATGCTCCATAATTTATGATCAAAACCTTTTCTAATCTTTTTCAAAGGTCAGAAAGGTCCATATTTTGTGACAAAAGTGATATTTGGACAGAAATGTATTAATTTGTTATGGCATAATGCATGGAATGTATGTCACCCGGTGGCTATATTTGGTATTACGCCTGAACATCAATTTTTCTGATATCAAATTCAAATTTGGAACACAGCTTGGTTAGATAAATGGCTTTTGGTTTAATAGTAATTTTAGGGTGAAAAAAATATCTTGTAAAATACATATTTTATATTAAAAAGTAGTATTTGATTTACTGTAAATTTAAACTTCCATAACTTTCACTTCAGTAATAGTGTTTTTCTTTAAAACAAGAACAAACTTTGGTCTATATTCCATAGCATTCTTGAATTACAAACATTTAAGTTTGAAAAGTGCATTTAATGTGACAGTGACAGTGAGTGTAAACAGTTGAGAAAGAAAACATGTGTATCGGTATATTGGATCCGTGTGTGAGGTCTTAAAGTGACAGCAGCCCGATAAACCTGCCGCCAAATTATGAGATAATATTAAAAATATCTATATGGCAGATTTCACCATGGTTTCAATGTCAATATTCACAGTGACTGGAGAGCAAAGAAGTTAATGTCAAGCTCTGGATGTCATCCAGCATTTGTTCTGCCATCATCTACTCATCTTCATAACTGAACACAGAAGATGTTTCTCGCTGCTCTTCTCTCATGAACGCAGCTGTACCACAAAGTGCCTTTTGAAAGACTAGGATTATATATAAACTGCTATGATGCTTGTACAGTCTTTGTTTTGAACATTCATTGCTTGTAAAAGAGCAGCCTGAACATTCTGCTAAACATCTTCTTTTGCCATTCAAGTCATACCGGCAGCAGCTTGAGATGACATAACGCTAATAAATGATGCTCTTTCCCCACCAGGGTTAAGAAAATTATATACAAATATTTTTTCCTCCTGTTTCTCACTCATCATAAAGTCTTGATGTTTAGTTAGAGAAGGAGATTGACATGAATGTATCTGCTTCAGTCTGCTCTCGTATGTACAGGACAATGTGGAGTCACTCCTGGTTTCAATCCGTTTGTCACACCGACTGTGTGAACGCAAAAAGAACAATTTCCAGTTTCTTTCCACCAAAATTCAACCGTGCAGTTTGCAACGTACACACCTTATGGAAACTAAAACTATCCGCTCAGAATATTATTATAGTTTCAGATGAGAGGATTTATTAATATATTTTACACCCCGTAATATATTATTTTAATTTATATGTTTTCATGTCTTATGTTTCATGTTTACCCGCTGTTTAGAAGATTGTAAGAAGTCTGGGACTTCTGTTTGCTGCTAATTTATATATTAAAACATTTGTGCTCTGATTGGATGTCTAGGTTTCTCTGATTGGATGTGTGGATGTCTGGGTTTCTCTGATTGGATGAGTGGATGTCTAGGTTTCTCTGATTGGATGTCTGGTCTGGGTTTCTCCGATTGGATGTGAAAAGTTTGCTTATATAATTACTTCATCAATGGGACTAATTTACAATAAACACGCCAGTAATAGAAGAATATAAAGACAACAGTAGATGCTTAAACTTAAGTAACACATCAATTACAGAAAATGTATTTTTCTTTCATGAGATACTGTCATACTAATAAGCTAAATTTTAAATGGAACAAAATTTAGAGGTGGCAACACTTGAACACATTTGTCTTAAAATGTACTTAAATTAATTGAAAAAACTGGGAAAGCCCATATATTGATCATGTCCCAGAGGAGCATCATTCTTTTTTTTTTTACGTTTTATTATATTGATTTTAAAGAATGAAAAGTACAGTCAGTGGGGTACATTGAGTGAACAAACGAACAACCAAAAAGACAAATATATGTGACAAATAAACAGTGACAGACTTAAAAGTTAAACAACAATAATGTGAAAATATTTACAGGTTCAAACACACTTTTCTTATTTTTCCAACCAACTGTATTGGGTATAGTTGAATTTCTGATCTTAAAATTAAAAACAAAGGCTTGTTTCCTCTAAATGTACACCTCCGAATACTAAATTTATAGCATCATCATCCTGCACACAGGTGAGTCCGACCGGGTGACGTCACGCAGGTGCGTTGCGCGGGTGAGCGCGCGTTGCTGGGCGGTGACTGTTTATTATAAGAGATCCGTTATTAATATTCTCACTTTAGTTATAAAGGCAGTCTCTCAGCAGCAGACGCGTTTATATGAACACTGTGGCTTTAGCGTCCGCGCACTGTCCTCAGATCAGCACATCTACTTCACTATTGATCCGCAACGGACTTCGGACTGACAAACACAAGCGTTTCCCTCAGAACATGTGTGAAGAACCGAACATGTGTGGAGTCTGAGTCCTGGAGAAGAACCAGCCCAATCAGGACCGACGGAACCGAAGATGAGCCCGCGATAACGGTCCGGTCGATGATGGAGCTCGGGAACGGGTTCACAAAGGATCCGAATCAAGACTGCGACACCAACCCTGTGAGAGAGCCGCACGTTTCTCTCCAACACACTCAACTCATTGCACAACCAGAACTGAGAAGTTATTTGAGAGGAATATGTGAATATTCGTGTGTTTCGTCGTGTTTCAGGAATCGCGCGCCGACCCGGATCCGTCCCATAAGAGGAGGAGCTTCCCGAAACGGCTGATGGGCCTCATCTTCCTCATCATCATCCTCATCTCGGCTGGGTCTGCGTGCGTTATCTGGTACTTTCTCGGTGAGGAAACGTTCACACATGCGTTCTCTGCCAGAACATGTGATTTTCCTGATAAATCCACATTAAATTATTCGGCTCAGCAAGGGTATGATAAATAATGACATTTTTCATTATTATTGGCAACGGCATTTTGGAGAACTTTTGAAAAACAGTTTTTCAAAACGACACCCCACACCGCTATTGTCTCCGCGTAAACTACAAAAACTACAAATCCTTCGGGTTCTTCTGACATTTGATAAAGCATCAAACATTACAGTATACTCATGGTAATTTTTGTTAACTCTACAATAAGTAAACCCACCAGCTAATAACTCTTCGACAGCGCTGCCATAGAAATATACAGACTACTGCAAAAACTGAAATTCAAATACAAAATGCTAAAGATTGCTGCGCGCTTGTTATTTATTTATTTTAAATTTTTATCAAACTTTCACAAAAGCTTAAAATGACATTTAACATCAAACATAAGACAAACAGATATTGGGGAAAACATAACAAATCTTACGTTGCACAGAGTAAAAATTTAAATTCTACAAATTTATTTTTAAATACCGTCTCTAGGCGTGTGTGTTTCTTTACAGAGGGACATCGCCATCCACTGGCCTGGAGCAGAATACAGCGGTTTAATTATTTCGCGGTTCGCTGTGAACTAGATCGTTTGGACAACATTGTCGTCTGTACATGGAAAACAAAGGAAAAACTTTTCCATTTTTAGTAAATCGTTGTCATGTTAACGAACCCTCACTTGGACGTTCAACGAACATTTTTTAAATGTAACTACTTGTTTCGGAACGTTCAGAGAACATTTAATGTTGGAAGAATGATACAATGTAACATTCCTGCATAACAAAGAAAAAAAGTGTTTATAACATTTTAATAAATGGACGTTTTTAGCATTCAGAAATAACATCTTTATAAATGAATGGGAACATTTGCCAAACATATTTGTTTGGCTAGCTTCAGAGTGACAGGTGTCCGTCAAAAACCACAGAAACATAAACACTAACTTACTGAGTGGGTGAGTGTAACCTTTAGCCACCCGTCTCACGTTCTGTGTGTGTGTGTGTGTGTTTAGAGTACAGGGTCTGGGTGCTGGAGCCGCAGGTGATTCAACAGTACACGGCCAGTGTTTCCATCCTGAATAAGAACTTCTCTGTGAGCCTGACCAGTCATGAGAGTTCAGAGTTCAGAGCCGAGGCGATGTCTCTGCAGAACATGGTGAGGAAACACAGCCTGTGTGTGTGTGTGTATGTGTGTGTGTAATAACTAGTAGCAGTTAGCCAGGAGGTAATAAGTTATTCAAATCAGAATTGACCTTTTTATGTAACTGAATAAGTTATGATCAGACTTTAAAGGGGTCATCAGTCATTTTGTGTTTAATCCGACCATTGAGCGGCCTGTTAAAGACGTACAGAAAAGATACAAAAACACGGTACAAGATGCCAAAAAATAAATATTTAAGAGGAAATATCTAATAGCTGGAGGAGGACCCCAAGAGAAACTTAAAGACACTGAAATGGTGATGATATGGTGAGGGTAGTGTAACCAGTTATAGTGTAACTGGTTTTCACTGCTGCTGGCCTAGTCTAACTTGTATTAGACCAGTCTATGAGCAAATCTTAGACTTGTCCAACACTAAAGACCGGTCTAAAATAGCTTCGTGAACCCGGCCCCTGATGACTTATTGTAAGACTAGTCAGACGTTCCACGTGAAATGTAGCCTGAAGCTGATTCGCCAGAACACGCAACACACTTATCGTCATTAAATCGTGACCCTTTGACAGGTTGAGAAGCTGGTGAAGTCCACAGATCTGTCCAGATACTTCAACTCCACAACGGTCTTCGCCTTTGGGTGAGGAAGACGTCGCTGGTGTTTGTTGAGCGGTCTGAGCAGAACCTTCACGTGTCCTCTGGTGTTTGTGTAGGGAGGGCAGCGTCGTGGCTCATTTCTGGCTGCGCCTGTCGGTTCCCGTCAGTCACGTGGAGACGGTGAGCGTGGCGAGACTGAACGAGAGTGTGTTCAGAGAGCTTCAGCGCTTCACCGACGCTCAGCAGATCTGCAGATACGAGGGTTTCCAGCTGCTGATGCCCTCGCTCAGCATCACCGGTGACTCTCGTCAGGCCAGACATGTGTCGTGACTTCTGCTGTATTTCTGCTCACTTGTTTTCACTGCTTTGTGTGTTTTTATTTACTTTCCAGAAACCAGCTCCAAAGTTATAGATCTTTTTCAAGCCACTTTTGGTATGATTTTTTTTCGTTTTCTCTTTTTTTGTTATATTTTGCTGTTTTTTTTCTCTAAACAATCATTTTGAGGTTTTAATTTACTTTCATGACAATAATGCAGTGCCACCAACAAGTATTAATGCCTGAATAATATATATTAGTAATACTAAATATCAAATCAAATGTCATTTTAAATTCACAATTGCGAAAAAATAAAGTCAGAATTGAGAGAAAGTTGGAATTGCAAGAAATAAAGTAAAAATTGCTAGATTTAAAGTAAAAATGGCAAGAAATAAAGTAAAAATTGCGAGATAAAAATTCAGAATTGCGAGGAATAAAGTCAGAATTGAAAGAAATAAAGTCAGAATTGAGAGAAAGTTAGAATTGCAAGAAATAAAAGTCAGAATTGCGAGATAAAAGTCAGAATGTTGAGAAATGAAGTCAGAATTGTGAGAAATAAAGTAAACAAAAATGTGAACAAGTAAGAATTGCTAGATTTAAAGTAAAAATTGTTTAGATAAAATTCAGAATTGCAAAAAATAAAGTAAACATTTTGAGAAATAAAGTCAGAATTGAGAGAAAAAGTCAGAATCGTAAGAAATAAAGTAAAAATTGCAAGAAATAAAGTCAGAATTGAGAGAAAGTTAGAATTGCAAGAAATAAAGTAAAAATTGTGAGATTAAAAATTGCGAGAACTAAAGTAAAATTTGCGAGATAAAAAGTCAGAATTGCGAGTAAAAGTCAGAATTGTGAGAAATAAAGTAAACAAAAATGTGAAATAAAGCAAAAATGGCTAGATTTAAAGTAAAAATTGCGAGATAAAAATTCAGAATTGCAAGATATAAAGTAAAAATTTTAGAGAAATAAAGTCAGAATTGAGAGAAAGTTAGAACTGCAAGTAATAAAGTAAAAATTGCGATAAATAAAGTACAAATTGCGAGATAAAGTTAGAACTGCATGAAATAAAGTAAAAATTTTGATAAATAAAGTAAAAATTGCGAGATAGTCAGAATTGTGAGAAATAAAGTAAAAATTGCGATAAATAAAGTAAAAAGTTCGAGATAATGTCCGAATTGCGAGAAATAAAGTAAAAAAAATTGTGAAATAAAGTAAAAATTGCGAGACAACAATTCAGAATTGCACTAAATAAAGTAAAAATTTAGATTAAGGCAGAATTGCAAGCAATAAAGTCATAATTACCTTAAACATTTTTTTTCTCTGGTGGAAACCAGCTTCTATAGTTTTCCTGCTTGAAATCTGGATGTCTTTGATTATTTCATTAGTGTTTTAAAACGTGTCTGGAGTCCTGAAGTGTGTTTCCCCACAGACTGTTACTGCTACACGTCTCTGCTGTCCACGGAGCCCGTGCTCCTCGAGGGCCCGAACACGCAGCGGTCCTCGTGTCTGTGGCACCTCAGGGCCCCTGCGGGATCCCGGCTCGAGCTCCGGGTCGAGTGGCTCCTGGCCGAGTGTCGGGACCGGCTGATCATCTACGACTCGGTCACGCCAGCTGACTCTCGGCTCATCACCTCGTGAGACTCGTGCTCCTCTTTGGCTTAGATCCGCACTGCAAAACGTGCTCAGTACTTCTGTCTAGTTTCCAGTCCAAATATCTAACAAATCTTAAATCAAGAGGCATTTACTAAAGTAGTAAAAGATAAAAAAAAAGATATTATGTCATGTTTTCTCGGTGGGGATCAAAGTGAAGTGAGTTTTTGCTTAAAACAAGAAAAATGATCTGACAATGGGGTCAGAAAAATAAACTTAATTCATGTTTAATGCCCCCCCCCCTCTCTCTCTCTCTCTCAGCCTGTATGGATGCAGTCGGTATGAGAGGACGGTGCAGCTTCTGTCGTCTGCCGACTGGATGACGGTGGTTTGGAAACAGGGTCTGTACAATTACAAGGATCCGTTCTCTCTGAGCGCTCGGGCCTGGCCGGATCAGGGTAATCGATTCAATTCAACTCAAATACCTTTATTCAATTTCCAAAGCATGAAAACGACATAGAAAATAGTTTAGAACAGCAGAACAATTGTAGGGCGCTATGATTTCCGCGATGGGGAAACACGTACGGACTCAAAGGTCTTCGCGGCAACCCGTCAAAATAAAAGTTCGGCGGTTTAACTTGAAGAAATTGTGACAGAAATTTTTGTTAAATTTGATACATTTTATGATTTGACTCTTGTAAAAGCATTTGAACAAGGAATATCAAAAACATGAAATAATAATATATAGAAAATAGGGGTGTAACGATACACGTATTCGCATTGAACCGAGGCTTTCGGTTCGGTTTTTGGTACGCATTTTTGAACGGTTCGTTGGATCATTTTTCCTGCTGACCAAAATTGCTCAAAGTTAAAAAATATCATACTTTATGATGTTAGCTTTAATAAAAATATATTAAAAAAATTAAATCAAGAAAATTTCTCTGCCATTTCTTTCTTTTTGCTGTATTGGAAACGTACCGAACCGCGACACAAGTGTATCGTATCGAACCGATCCGTGAATTTTGTGAACCGTTACACCCCTAATAGAAAATTAATGATTATTGGGATACAGAAATCATGTAACTAATGAGTTGAATAATTACAGTTCAACATTGTTTACAGTAGTGGCCAAAAGGGATGTGCGGAGGGGATATGTTTTTATTTTTATTTTTATATATATATATACAGGTTTTATTTTACTATGAATAAAATGCATGAATAACAACAAAAAGCTGACAGGAAAAAACTTCCATTGACTACAACATGATCAGTTATTAATATTGTCCTGGTTCTCTCTTGTTTTTGCACATGTTCTTAATTTCTTTGTGCAACAGCCTTTCCTCACAGCGTACAACTGATGCTGATTTATTACCAGATTTCATTCAATCCTTTAGATTTTTGTGTGTTAGTGTTGTTAAGCGTTGAGGTTGTGTTTGTCACAGATTGCTCCCACAGTGTTGTGCTAGAGGAGAAAGACGGCGTCCAGGGGATTTTACAGACCCCCTTCTACCCCGGTTACTACCCTCCCGACACCAACTGCACCTGGACCTTCACTGTAAGACTCTCCTTACGCACTTCAGCTGCTGGAAATGTACAAATGCAGGAAGGTTTCTGTGATGGGTATGTTTAGGGGATAGATGTCTATGGAAAAATGTGTGTGTGTGTGTGTGTGTGTGTGTTCAGGTGCCAGCGGTAGAAAAAGTCAGAATTGCAAGAAATAAAGTAAAAATTTCAAGAGAATTGTGACAAAGTAAAAATTGTGAGACGAAAAAGTCAGAATTGTGAGAAATAAAGTAAAAATTGTGAGATGAACAGTCAGAATTGAGAGATATAAAGTCAGAATAGTGTGAAGTCAGAATTGCAAGAAATAAAGAAAAATTGCAATATAAAAGTCATAGACAGAAATAAAGTAAAAATTACTAGATGAAAAGGCAAAAAATTTTAGAAACTTTCTGTGATGGGTATGTTTAGGGGATAGATGTCTATGGAACAACGTGTGTGTGTGTGTGTGTGTGTGTGTTCAGGTGCCATCGTTAGATAAAGTCAGAATTGTGAGAAATAAAGTAAATATTTCAAGATTAAAAGAAAGAATGGTAACAAGGTAAAAATTGTGAGATAAAAAGTCAGAATTGCGAGAAATAAAGTAAAAATTCGAGAACTAAAGTAAAAATTGTAAGATTAATAGTCAGAATTGAGAGATATAAAGTCAGAATAGTGAGAAGTCAGAATTGCAAGAAATAAAGAAAAATTGCAATATAAAAGTCATTGACAGAAATAAAGTAAAAATTACTAGATGAAAAGGCAAAAATTTTAGAAATTTTCTGTGATGGGTGTGTTTACGGGATAGATGTCTATGGAAAAATGTGTGTGTGTGTGTGTGTTCAGGTGCCATCGGTAGAAAAAGTCAGAATTGCAAGATAAAGTCAAAATTGTGAGAAATAAAGTAAATATTTCAAGATTAAAAGAAAGAATTGTGACAAAGTAAAAATTGTGGGCAGGAAAAGTCAGAATTGCGAGAAATAAAGGAAAAATTGTGAGAAATAAAGTAAAAATTGTAAGATTAATAGTCAGAATTGAGAGATATAAAGTCAGAATAGTGAAAAGTCAGAATTGCAAGAAATAAAGAAAAATTGTAATATAAAAGTCATTTACAGAAATAAAGTAAAAATTTCTAGATAAAAATTCAAAAATTTTAGAAATTTTCTGTGATGGGTATGTTTAGGGGATAGATGTCTATGGAACAACGTGTGTGTGTGTGTTCAGGTGCCATCGTTAGAAAAAGTCAGAATTGCGAGATAAAGTTAGAATTGTGAGAAATAAAGTAAATATTTCAAGATTAAAAGACAGAATTGTGAGAAAGTAAAAATTGTGAGATAAAAAGTCAGAATTGCGAGAAATAAAGTAAAAATTGAGAGAACTAAAGTAAAAATTGTAAGATTAATAGTCAGAATTGAGAGATATTATGTCAGAATAGCAAGAAATAAAGAAAAATTGCAAGATAAAAAGTCAGAATTGCGAGAAATAAAGTAAAAATTGCGAGAACTAAAGTAAAAATTGTAAGATTAAAGATTAATAGATATTATGTCAGAATAGCAAGAAATAAAGAAAAATTGCAAGATAAAAAGTCATAATTGAGAGAAGTAAAGTAAAAATTACAAGATGAAAAGGCAAAATTTGAGAAATAAAGTCAGAAATGAGATAAAGTCAGAATTGCGACATAAAAAGAAACAAGCTTCCATAGTTTTCTAATTAATATCTTGATGTCTATGACTAACTCATTGTTTTTCCACGTTTGTGTTTTAAAAACTCATTGCGTGTCTCTCACTGATCGCTTGTTCTGGAGAGTCTGTAGAAGTGCGGAAAAGATGCAAACTCGAGAAAATGAAAACGTATCACAAAGCTGAATTTTTGACGAGCATATATTGAATAATATATCGAGAAGACGCGTGTGTGTTCAGGTGCCATCTGTAGTAAAAGTCAGAATTGAGTGTAAAAAGTAAAAATTGCGAGAAATAAAGTCAGAATTATAATAGTCATAATTAATAAAGTAAAAATTGCAAGATAAAACATTGCATTGTTTTTCCACTCCCGCTGACATGAGCGTATATTGAATAATATATTGTGTGTGTGTGTGTGTGCAGGTGCCATCGGTAGAGTTCGGTCTGGCCTTGTTCTTTGAAGGATATGAGCTGAACCGGGCGAGTTACAGCCAGACCTGCACACAGGGCCGATGGAGCATCCAGAACCGCAGGTCAGTCCCGCAGAACCATCAGCACCAGCACATGCGTGTGTGTGTGTGTGTGACGGCGGTGTGTGTGTGTGTGCGCAGGCTGTGTGGCGTCCGAGGGTTGCAACCGTACGCCGAGCGGATCTTCCTGATGTCCTCCAGCGTCACGGTGTCCATGAGGTCCGAGGTGTCGCTCACCGGCCCGGGCCTTCAGGTCCACTACAGCGTCTTCAACCAGTCCGATCGTCAGTACACACACACACACACTCGCTTTTTACTTTTTTATCATGTGGCGGAAACAATCTTCTATAGAAATATAACTTGTTTTTAATTACTATACAGTATAAAGCTCAAGTGTTATCTGTGTGTGTGTGTGTGTGTGCTCAGCTTGTCCCGGTCAGGTGCTCTGCAGCATTAACGGTCTGTGTGTGCCGGCGTGTGATGGGATATCAGACTGCGCTAACGGACTGGATGAGAGAAACTGCGGTGAATCCCCTTTGACTTCATAATGTTCGAAAACGGTTATTATGACTAATGCCAAACAATATTATCTGCCCAATTCTAAAGAAATGCTTGAAGGAAGTAAAAAATGTCATCGGATGTGTGTGTGGGCAGACAGACGAGATGTGCGTGAGTCACTGGATTCATGCAACATGAAGTCTTTCGAGAAAAGAAACGTCCTTTAAATAATATTAAAGCACAGCGACTCTAGCAATCATAGTGACACACACACACACACACACACACTAATCCTGATGTGTTATTTTGTGAATATTTGTATGTGAATTTGAATGTGATTTATGTTTATTTTACTTAGGCCCATGTACAGCACTACAATCAAGCCTAATGATATATGATTGAGGTGTTATCTTGTGTGTGTGTGTGTGTGTGAAGTGTGTATCGCTCAGTTCCAGTGCTCAGAGGACAGTCAGTGTGTCGACTACTATAAAGTGTGTGACCAGCACCAAGACTGCATTGATGGCAGTGATGAGGACAACTGCACACATGGTATCACTCACACACTCACTCACACACACACACACAGTATAAGGACCGACTGTATCTGTAACTCTGTGTGTGTGTGTGTGTTCAGGTGTACCATGTTCTGATATGACGTATGTATGTGGAGATGGGACGTGTCTGAAGAAGCCAAACCCAGAATGCGACTTCATCACAGACTGTCCTGATGAATCTGACGAGAAATATTGCGGTAAGAACGTCTCACTGCGTGTGTGTGTGTGTGAGTATGCGTGTTGAGTAGCCTATACGTGTGTGTGTGTGTGTTTTGATCACTCTCTCTCTGCAGACTGTGGACTGAGGCCCTTCAGCAGTCGTGTGGTGGGCGGGGCCGAGGCCGAGGAGGGGGAGTGGCCATGGCAGGCCAGCCTGCAGATCAGTGGCCGGCACATATGCGGGGGGGCTTTAGTCTCCGCCCAGTGGGTGGTGTCCACGGCTCACTGTTTCTATGACGACAGGTGAGCGGCTCACTGTTTCTATGACGACATATTGCGTTACTCCCTTAAAAAGTAACTAATTATTTGAAAAAGTAATCTGATTACGCGACTCAAGTTACTTGTGACGAGTCCCTGGTGCTCCTGTGCGCTGTGTGTGCAGGTTCTTCTCCCCGTCGGTGTGGATCATCTATCTGGGCAAGCTCCGGCTGGACGGCAGCAGTCAGTCGGAGGAGGCGGTGCGAGTGTCACACATTCACCTCCATCACTACTACGAGGACGAGACGCACGACTACGACGTGGCGCTGCTGCGGCTGGTTCGGCCCGTGTGGTCCAGCACGTTAGCTCACCCGGTCTGCCTTCCGCCCGCGACCCACCAGCTGGAGGCCGACCTGCTGTGCTGGGTCACGGGATGGGGCGCGCTTCGAGAGGGAGGTACGGCACCCCCCAAACACATCTCAGCCAGTCGATACACGCGCTACACTTTTACTGAGAGAGGTTCCAGAAGGAGGTGCCATGAAACTGAAGAGCTTGTAGGGGGCGGGGCTTGATTTTTGCATCAGCTGTTGATTGGATGTTTAGATGGGCGTGAGCTTGCAGGGGCGGGGCTTGATTTTAATTATCAGCTGATGATTGGATGTTTAGAGGTGGGCGTGAGTTTGCAGGGGCGGGGCTTGATTTTAATTATCAGCTGTTGATTGGATGTTTAGATGGGCGTGAGCTTGCAGGGGCGGGGCTTGATTTTAATTATCAGCTGATGATTGGATGTTTAGAGGTGGGCGTGAGTTTGCAGGGGCGGGGCTTGGTTTTAATTATCAGCTGTTGATTGGATGTTTAGAGGTGGGCGTGAGTTTGCAGGGGCGGGGCTTGATTTTATTTTATCAGCTGTTGATTGGATGTTTAGAGGTGGGCGTGAGCTTGCAGGGGCAGGGCTTGATTTTATGCGTCAGCTGTTGATTGGATGTTTAGGGCTTGATTTTTTGGGTCAGCTGTTGATTGGATGTTTAGATGTGGGCGTGAGCTTGCAGGGGCGGGGTATGAAAAAACATGCATGAACATCAGAAGGAATGTTGAAGGATACAGTAGAACTTACTGTAATGAATCATGTCTCATTTAATCGCTCAATCAGTGTTTCAACCCCAGAAAGACATCAATAACAGCTTGTAAATGTGGCCTGAAACAATGTGAGCTTTTTAAAATATATTATCTCAGTTTTTCGTCTGTAAATCCACATTTTAAAGCTGATATTTCTTCCTTCACATCTTTATCGACCTTTCTCAACCCTGATGAGTTTGACACACGAAACAATAAACCACCAAAACTAAAATATGAGGAACTGAATCCCAATGTTTCTTGATGTTTCTGCATCTGGGTCAGTTTCACTGACCATATGATGCTGTGAGAGAAAGTCACCTGTTGCTTGTTATTAAATAGAGGAATAACCAGCTGAGTGGGAATAAGGCTGTAGTTATACACTGGAAATCAAGCACGAGTAAAGATTTAAACTCCCCTATGTCAATCATTTTATCCCTTTATCCTCATCTTTGATCACCAAAATGGCATATTTAAAAGCTTTTTCCTTGAAAAAAATAATTCATGCCTTAAATTAGCTCGAATGTTCGTTTACACCCTTGCCTCATTTAGTATACGCGGTTCTATGAATATCCAAATGAGCCCCGCCTCCACTCACTCAGAGATGGTTGACGAGTTTGTGACGTCAGAAACACCAGCGATTTCAAAGCGTGTTTTTGAGACTGTCTTTGGTTCACTGCAGTTTTAAGGAGGAAATACTCTTATCAACTTACACACGGTGTGTGTTAAAGCGGATTAAACACACCACACACACACATAAACAACATTAAATGCTGGATTTACACCACAGCTTGTGTCTCTTTCTCCATCAGGGGCAGTGAGTGACGTCCTGCAGAAAGTAGACGTGCGATTGGTCAGTGAAGATGCATGCGTGCGTTCCTATGGTTACATGATCACTCCCAGAATGATCTGTGCCGGCTATCGCAGTGGAGGAAAGGACTCCTGTCAGGTGACACACCATAATTCTATTCTATTCTATTCACAGTCACACCACAGGGCCATTTAAAAAAAATATTCAAAACATGATTAAACTTTCTGTTTTACGTTTATGTAAATTTAGTTTTTTTTATAAAGAATATAGTTACTGTATCTTATTTGAATTTCTACAAACTACAAATATTGGCTTAATCTTAAAGGTGAAACATTATGCCCCTTTTCACAAGATGTAATATAAATCTATGGCGTCCCCAGAATGTGTGTGTGAAATTTCAGAACAAAATAACAGATCATTTATTACAGCTCATTTAATTTGCCTTTTGGGCGTTTGCAAAAACGCCCCGTTTTTGTGTGTGTCCCTTTAAATGCACATGAGCTTTAGCCCCGCCTCTGTTCAGAAGAGGGCGGAGCCTTTACACAAGCTTCAGAGACTCCGGCAATAACAACACAGGCCGATGTCGCTGGTGTGTGTGAACGTGTAGATTAACCCTCTGGGGTTCTTCGGGTCAATAATGACCCGAAGCGTTTAAATAAAAAAATGTTAAAAATCGTAGCTTCCTCGGAATGGTCCGAAACTTGGTGACTTTAATGGTACTTTGCATATGAACACCCAAACAAATTGGGGACAGGATTTGAAAAGTCTAAGTGGTCATAAAAAAAATAGTCACACTCAGGACCTTCGGGTCAAAAATGACCCACATGGGAAATTGGCAAAAATGTGAAAATACTGAGTTTTTTTGTGCATAGAATCTACAAATCAGCAACGATCTTGAAAAAAAGCACACAACAGTGAAGGGGTGAATCTATAAAACATCAAGAGTGCAAAACAGACACATGCACACACACACACACACACCAAAAAAATTCAGATTATACATGTGTTTTGCATTTTTAAAAAGCTCAGTTTGTCCACGAAATGGCATCCATCTAATTTCAAAAATTGCTTTTATGAGGCCTAGACTTGACTCCAAAATGAAATACAGCTTTAAAAAAAAAAAATATATATTTTTTTTTAGAATATTTTTTCCTATTATATTCAATGGGGGAAATTTGGTCATAATTATTGCATTAATACTAATTATACATTTGTGTATTTTTGAAATTTTTTTCAAAACACCAAAAAAGAAAAGAAAAAATATTATAAAAAACAAGTAAAAAAAAAAAATATATGATTTTCTTTTTTAAATATGAATCCCGCCCTTCGGGCCCCGAGTGTGACTGTTAAACGAAGAACCCCAGAGGGTTAAGGGCCGGCAATATTATAATAAGATCCTCTTCATACGTCAGAAGGAGCGAAATCTGATCGGCTTATTTTTTTTTAATTCTTGCAGAGAAAGCCTCACCGAATCAAAGTTACTGGGTTTCACTGTTCACGTTTTCAGGGTTGGTAGAAGCAGCGGATTACAGCACACACACACACGGGAAAAGTCAGATTGTCATGATATGGCCCCTTCAAAGATGCACCTATTGAAATATGACTTATTTTACTATATATTTGACTATTAAAATATTAATTATACACAAAGTCTTCCACCAGAGATGTGCAGGTGACGTGTGTGTGTGTGTGTGTTCTGGCCAGGGTGACTCTGGCGGGCCGCTGGTGTGTCAGGAGCCGTCGGGACGCTGGTTTCTGGCCGGTGTGGTGAGCTGGGGGCGAGGCTGCGGACGCCCGGATTATTACGGGGTTTACACTCGGATCACCAAACTCTCCGGATGGATCAAACGCATCATTTCTTCCTGAGACCTTCAAACCTACACAACCCGCCTCCCAGCACTCGCCTTGGGCTCCGAGCATCGTGGGAAATCTGCTGTGATGTCAGTCATGTGTAGACATAATTTTAGGTTCATAAACTGGGTTTGAAATTAACACCCGCCAACCTGCCAGATGCGGGTCAGAATCAGCACACGTCACGACACAACAAATAACGGTGCACTTGTTCATTGAAGCAATAGAGAAGATTAAAAAGCATTTGGATTATTTTCCAACATCCTATATTTGTTTTTATGCTCTTTGTACTGTATTGATTTGATCTGTCCATCTAAAACACATTTTTGGTGAAAAGGATGAGGATGGATTTAGAAATCCAAATCCAAATTTTATAATGGCTACTAGTAGAAGTTCTTAATGGCCGATAACTTAAAAATTTAGAAGGCAAATTGGCCGGTGAGTGAAAAAAGTTAATTTCAAACCCTGTTCATAAACATTCACTTTATTCAACTGGACTAAACAGCCTATTTCAAATCAGCTGCTTCAGGATTTATTGTTTATTTGTAATTATTTAGACAAAATCATATCAGCCTCAACATGACAATAATTGTTGACTTTCAGATTTTAGCAGAGCTCCTACAACACTGACGGTTCTGTCTTCAGCTACTCATGTTGAAACAAACCGGTGACTTTCGGTCTATCGTGGAAACAAAAGTGAGAAATTCTGCAGAATATGTAGTGTGTGTGTGGTGACGTCATGAGGGGGAATCTTTTCATTTTTGAGTTTACTTTTCCTGTAACGTGATGCTGAGCAAACTGATAAAACCGTTTTTTAAAGCAGTGCTTTATGTTGCTGACAAATTGTAAGAAAGATTAAAATGAATGTATAAGCGACACAAATTCATATTTGCTGGAACAAATAAAGCATTTACATTTTTACAGTTTTATCATGTAGTGAGATCTCTTTTTTGGACATATTTATATAAATTAACAAAAGAAAGTTATAAATTAACTTTCACCGATTCAAATTGTACAGCCAGAACCCTAGGCCTACATACACATATCATATCACAACATAGATAACATAACATCAGTAGGCTGAGTACATTTAAGCCAAGGTCGAACCATCAAAAAATAATAGTAATAATAATAAATAATAAAAATTGTACTATTTAATAGAATATTGTTCATGTATTGCATTTCAGATTAGAATGAGTGAAATCCGCGATTATCTGTGGCTCAACAGTGACACCCTGCGGTCAGGAGCAGAGTTACACTCAAATAGCGCCACAAACGCCATTAAAAGTCACCATTAAAACTTTAAAAATGTAATGGAATATTGCAGTGTTTATTGTAAATTATTTATGGGTATAATTATTATTATTTAATAATCTTGGATCAGAATAACTTAACTCTTGCAGCTTCTCTGTTCAACCTGTCACTCACATGAGATCCACCAACAGCAAAACCACAACCATCCAATCAATTCCCCACAGACACAATCAAGCCCCGCCCACATTCGATCTTGTTCCTGAAGCGTTTCACTCGATATACGACACAATCGAGGAGAAAAGGCTCGCACAACTTCCATTTCATACCGACTTTAAAGTCCCCCTGTAGTGTAAATCTAAAAATAAAATAAAAAATTAATGTTGTTTTTGTGTCGATGTGGTATTTTTAATCCGATTTAACAAGTTGATAAGTGACAGCATTGCTGAGTATTAAAACTGCAGTGAACCAAAGACAGTCTCAAAAACACGCTTTGAAATCGCTGGTGTTTCTGACGTCACAAACTCAGATCAACGTGTAATCGTCAACCAGTGGATCTCTGAGTGAGTGAGTGGAGGCGGGGCTCATTTGCATAGTCATAGAACCGCGAATACTAAATGAGGCAAGGGTGTCGAGTTACATATTTAAGATATTAAGCCATGAAGAATTTTGTCTTCATATTTAAAAAGCAGACCTTTTAAATATGTAATTTTGGTGATCAAAGATGAGTTTTAAGGGATAAAATAATTGGGGATTTTAAATCATTTGTCATGGTGGGTTATTAACATTTTCAGGTCATATACATCCGACAGACAAATAGAAGTTAAACACAGCAGAAATATTAGAAATTAATCTGACGTATACAGTTACCAGTAGAAACTGCATTGGTGAGTTATGGTTTATAATCCCAAGTGTTCTGCTTTTCTCAAACCGCAAATTTGTCATCAGAAGAAAAGAAAAATCTATTTTGGGGGCATTCAAGTTCCTCGTTTTCTGCTGAAGCTGGAAATGTATATATACATGTGTGTGTGTGTGTGTGAGTGAGATCAGAGGTTAGAAAAGGTTCATTGGTATAACAAGTCAGTGGAAAGTCCCCAAGAAGATATGAAAATAAATGTGTTTGAGATCTAAATCGAGTCTGATTTTGTGCTAATAGAAGAATATGGGAGTTTCAGATGTCAGAGATCATTTGGCTCAGCAGCAAACACAAATAAACCAGACACAGTGTGTGTGTGTGTGTGTGTGTGTGTGTGTGAGAGAGAGGGAGAGCAGGGTCAGAGGAGTCAGTAAAACACGCTCTGATTTGTTCATGTTTCATCCCACTCCAGTCTGGAGAAGCAAACGTATCATCAGCTCCTCCTGTTGGTTTCCCTCGGCTCGGGAACGTCAAGGGACAACGTGCTGTGTAAAGCAGTGGAGGAGGGGAGGATAGAAAACTACATGTTGAACTGAGAGGAGTGTGTGTGATGAAGTGTGTTGAGAGTTGAAAGCAGAGCATGTCAGATGTTGAAGACATATGCTGTGAATATGTCCTTCTGAATCTAAGTTTCACATAATGTTTGCTAGGTCTTTGAAATGTACACTGTAAAAATAATTATTTTTCAAGGGTAAGGGTAGTACGGTTACTATTTTTCCTAAGTTTTCGATAAAAAGATTTTTGATGCACATTTTATAAGTAAATACTATTTTAAATTGTTTCAAAGTAAGTCCAACAATGAATCAGTGAAACAATCTCGATCACCGCAAAATTTAAACTATATTATTGCCCAGCTCTAAAATGCAAGTAAGACATGAATATATAAAAATACAAACCCCTTTTACGCCGTCATTCACAGTTACATCACGGCGCTAGCTGGAGGCAAAACAAAGTGAAAACTGGAGGCGGCCAATACAAACCAGCACAGATTCGGCTACATAATAAGGAGCTTAAATTACTTTTATTATTATTAAATGTCATCTTGTTGTGTTGTTTGGTGCAAGAATTGATGAAAAATGAATATGCTGTATCTGGATTTTTTATTTCTAGAAAATATTCACATCATTAAAATCGCACCGTAATGTCACTTTTTACATTGTCGTGGTCTCGGCGCCGGCTCAGCAGAACTGTGGATCGTACACACAAGTCTTGTACAGGACCATATAGGCATCTAAAGATTTATATGCCCTCAGTTTCTCTTTACGATCGGTTTCTCTATAAGGTAGGTGTAGAAGTCACCCGAGGTAACGTACGTTAATCCTGTCAGATCGTCCATCATCGAGTGAGCGTGTAGGCGGCTACGGGTCGGCCAATCTGGTTCCGTCCGTTAAAAATAACTTTTGGAAATAACAATCGCGGTTCTGGACACTGAGTGACCTTACACATTAAGATAAAATCGTATTTTCTCCAGTCATTGTTAAAAATAAGCTAACAATCCTTGCTAACTAGCGTTAGTGAAGCGGCCAGAGGGATCGTTCTGCCTCCACCTAAGCTCCGCCCACAAAAAAAACTCACCATGTTTACCAACTGAAAAGGGGTCTATAAACATTCCCAGCGAACAGGGAACGTTCTGTTAAAGTCATAAACAAACGTTCTTCCAGTTACAATCGAACATTCGTTCAGAGTTTTCTGGTCTTTAATAATGTCCTCAAAACAAAATCACACATCGTTGATGGAACGTTCTCGTTGGATGTTCGTCTAACGTTTTTAAAAAATGTTAATACTTGTTTCAGAACGTTCAAAGAACACTAATGTAGTAACTAGTAACACTAAGTAACGTAATATTTGAAGAATGATGAAATGTACGTCCCTTAAGATTCACATAACCAAGAAAAGGTTTTTTTAAATTGGGCGTTTAACTTAATATAAACATTAGCAAAGCGTCGTTGTAACATATTGTTAGCTGGGTAAACAAACCCAGACCCATAGTGTCGGCCGAGATCCAGATGTGGGCCGACACTAGTGTGTTGTTGTTTGGGAAGCATTATGAAACCATGTGCATTGTAAAAAGTGCTATCAGATAGATTTGACTTGAGGATGTGGTTGCTAGGGCGTTGCTAAGTTGTTACCAAGGTGTTGGCACAAGGTTAGTGAAGGGATCTTCACCTTTTTATGCTCCAAAACTCTCCTAAACAACACGGGATTTAACGTTGTTATTGGTTGTTAACGGTGCTCTTCACGTGTCGGTCAAAAATGACCCAACATTTTTTATTTCAATGAAAGGAATGTACTATATTTTAGTTTGATAATGTTTTTTTATTTAATATTGTGTATTTTAGGGGATTTTAGGGCACGAAATTATCCATTTACTCACTTTTTGAGCGTAGACCTAAAGAAGTTTTCAAAGAAAATTCAAAGAGATAAAAGTTTGATCTCTTTTCAAAGACAACACTTGGCAGATTATTGCTGCACGGAAAAAGATTTTAAAAAGTGATATGAAAAATCCACAAAAATACTATTTTACATTTTTATATGAAATCTATATTTTCAAAAACTAGTTTTAATCTAAAACCACAAGAAAATTAAAGCTGATCAAGTTGTGTTCCAAATTTGAGGTTGCTATCTCCGTAAACGAGCGTTCAGTGAGTGTGTGTTCGGCTGCAGTACCGAACGCTTCCACTAGAGGAGCAGTTTTGGACAATTGAATTTCACATTTTTCAAGTGTGACTATGTTTTACAGGACCGTTTAACCTGTGTGAATCATGTCCTTGATCACAGCGAGTGCCAAAACCTTTCCCAAGTTTCGTACCATTCCGATAAAACGTTCGGTAACTGAATTCAGTGGCACGCGTTTATCTGCATCCAACAGACATGCTGATACCTGTGGAGTGTGTGAAGATGAAGAAGACCTGCGACTCTAAAGCAAACGCTTTAGGATGAACGGCGGACACGAGGAGAGAGAGGCGGGCGAGAGAATGAAGAGTTGGCTAAGGAAACTCCTCCTCGTGAAGGCTGGGAGAGAGCGAGACGAGGCTTGAGGAGTGAGAGAGACGGTCGAGTCGCTGAAGGTGCTCGAGGACACAGCGGTGAGTTACAACTCTACATTCATGAGATTACTCGTGTTTCTGCTCCAGGCCTTCAGTCTCTCCGGCGCGAGACGCTGGGAGATTTAGGGAGCGCTTCTCGTGTCATGCATTTGGAAAGAGATTGTTTGACGAGATTCATCATTTCTGAGGACGTGGCTCTCTCTCTCTGTGTTTCCTCTCATCTGGTTTTCATAAGTCGAACACACAGCTGCGGGCGAGTCTCAATGAATCATTCAAGTTTTCTGCAGGATGAATGTTCTTTTAAGGCGATGTTATACAGACTGAAAGAAGCAATTAAGGGTAGAGGATACAAGTTCTGAAGAGAGAATGACAGAAAAGATGCTTGGATGAGATAATGTTGAACTTAAGAGAGAGAAAGGCTCAATGACGAGGTCCATAAATGTCACTTTTATAAGCTAGTTTATTACCGACACACATTCGACCTCAGGCTCCTGTTGCAGGATGGGAACATCTCTCACTTATGTTTTTTTTCAATATGTCATGATGTTTTATTACTCAAAAAGAGATCATTAATAATTATTAGACTAGCGGGATATGTATGAATGTGATTGAAGAGTTTAGGGTGTGTTTACCCGACAGCATTTTCAACTAAAACCGGAAAACGTTTTATGCTTTTTGGTGTTTCGAGGACCTGAAAACACGAACTTTTGAAAATTGGTTTCAAAATGCAAAGTTTTGAAAATGATATCTTTACCGTTTCTGTGTTAACAACAAAAACATAAATTAGTGAAAGCGTGCGCATACATAGGGGGTTACTCTTTACAAGGGGACATCGCCATCTACTGGCCTGGCAGCAGAATACAGCGTTTTTAGTCGTATTTGCAGATCCGTGTGAACGGTAATTGCTTTGACATCGTTATCTCCTGTTTTTAGGACACCGTCATCGTCGTGTAGGCCCAGATATACTTCAAATGAAGCTCTTTTCGTTCTTCGTTTAGGGGTAAAACACAGTTTGAAATAGGTGAGCAGCGATGCCGTTATCGCACATCTGCCGCCGCAAATATGTGTGGGACGAATTCCTCTCAATAACAAACTAAACACTGAGAAAAATTGAGAAAACAGCAAGCAATAAAGAATAAGAAAAGCATCTGTTCATCATAGCAAAGTGGACAATTCGACACTCTATAGTAAAGTCACATTTGTTCATGTATATAGCACTTAAAATCAAGCAGCTTTACCGTATTAAACACGCAAAACGGTGTCCGTGTCTCGTTTCACCAGAAGTACAACTTCATTTTCTACTATGAACCGCTGTGTGCTCATTTTCCAGGGTTCGTACACTACGGACTTTTCAAGTACTACTTTTTTGGTTTTCAAAAACTTCAATCAGAGATCTTAATTATCAAACAATATCTTTATTATCTTTCAAATTCTAAAATAGGTAAATAGATAAAAAAAAACTAATAAAACAAAATGGTACAAATAAAGTGCAGCGGATGCAATGACTGTGGAAACTGTAACCACTGAAAGGATGTGATGACAAAGATATCGCCTTCTAACTCAAACTTTTAATTTAGATGCGATTAATCGTTGCCCAGCACTATTTTTTTTTTTATAAGTTGAACTTATTTTAGCTTGAACATTTTTTGCGAGACGCTGTAATAGACTGTCACGCATTGGCCGTAATTGGTTTCACACACTCACATTTCTCACGCTGAAGTGTTAACCTGGCCGGTCAAATGCCTGAAAGATAAGATTTTCTATATACCTACCTGTTGATCCACTCGTGATCGAGTAGAAATGCCGCAAATTAGTTTAATTCTCCCAGAATCTATTGTGAGCGTGCTCGCGAGACAGAGAATGTGCTTCAAACTGTGTAGCGGGCGATATTTGTCATCCAATCTATCTAATAAAATTATTGTACTATGAAATTATGGTACATTATCGGATTTTTTTCATTGTTGATCGTACATCATACAGAGGTGAACGTTTTCGTACAAATATAGTAATTCTCATACGTCAAGACAACACTGACCTGTGCCCTTCCTATGCAGGCGTCGTGATGTTGGGTGTGTTTCTGCTCCTGCCCCTCGTGGCGTCTGTCCCACCCCCTTCCAGGCCGACGCCCAGATACTGCCGTCGCTGCTGCGATCACTTAGACCCGCCTCTCATCCCCACAGCCAATCAGACGCCGGAGATCCGCACCATCATTAACATGACCATTCTGAAAGGTAAAGGCCGAACACACCTATTGGAATCCACACTACATTCTCCAATGTATTCATGATCATGTGACTAGCGTCAGTTGCATGGGATAGTGAAGTGTTCATCGTATTGCCTACTTTTGTCGCATACTATTTTTCGCCTACTTTATAGTAGGGAAGTATGAGATTTCAGGTGGAGCAAAGTAGAAAGAAAGGAAAGAAGAAATGTTTTTTTTGACTTTTTTTATCATAAAATGTAATTGTTGTAACTCTTGGCATGAAAACAAACTGATTTTTCAAAATAAAGGCCCGAACACGCCTAATGAGTATGAAATAGTCTTGTTGCAAATTGATAAATTATTGCAATTCATTTTAGTCACCAAATATGAAAAGATAGAGATTGTAAGCTATCAAATGACTTATAGTTTGTTAATATTACTTTAGGTTTTTACTCAGATATTATCGTTTTAAATATATAATTGCACACGTCCCAGTTAAGGTTAAATATGAATGTGTCCAATAATTACGGCGAATCTTAAGCAGGGTTAGCGTAGATGGATATCCCTGATTTTACATTTTCACTGGTGAATCAATGTATTTTTCAAACAAATTTTTTATCAACATTATAGATTTTGAGGATTCTACAAAGTAACAGATGAATTTGTGCTGAAATACTGTAGAGTTTGATGGTCACTTGGCTTATAAACATATGGGAAGGGATTTCTCCATTTACTGTCCAAATTATACCCAATGAGAGTTGAGTAGCAGTTTATTCTTGGCATTTGTTTTCCCCAGTTTTGTTCTGCTGCTTTAGAGGAACAAACAAAGAAGCCGAAAGAGAATAAACACGACTTTCGTTTACTCGCAGTGGACACAGATTGGCAGTGGTCAATCCATTTCCATTCACAGAGATTCCTGAAAACAACCACAGAGGTTTCCATTGGTCGCTGTGAAGTCATGTGATCACGGTTTATTTCCTTTGAGCTGAATAAGGGGTAATTTAACTGGTGGTGAGCAACATCTGTCGACGAGCACAAACCACTGCTCAGTGAACGTGTTCAGACACTCTAAAAGCAAGACAAAAGCAGAAACTTGTAATGGGACAACGGGTTAATTCAATGGGGAATCCATAACATTAGATAAACACTAATACTTTAATAAAAAAATAGGTCATATATTATAGACTTTGATAATATGAAGAGCATTTAAATGAGGGTTCAAAACCCACACATGCCTGTTGCTCTTGACCACATGTCTACTTACATTATGTATTTCTTGTATTTGGCCCTATTGACCTCAAGTGTGTCAAACTTTTGATGGTTCTCCAACGCGGTATTAGAGATCGTGTGGATTTAGTGTGCGTTAAGTCAAGTCCCCTTCATTTATATAATGCTTTTAAAAATATAGATTGTTTCAAAGAAGCTTTACAGTGATAATGGGAGATTACAGTAACAGAGACTGTTTTGGCTTTACAGCAGCTCTAGAATAAAGTTATTGTCCAGGTAAAGTTAGTCTTGATGGTTGCAAATTACCTTTCTAGATATTAACTTAGCTTGAATGTGTGCAAGCACGTTCTCTACAAATTGACCACAATAAACTACTTGTCTGGCCTTAAAAATATACAATAAAGATGTATTATCTCTTCCTCGGTAGGGCAAAGGCAATGAGCTTTGGCGTTTATAAGACATAGGATTCACCGTGATTTTGCCAAGTAAGACGATGGACCAAAATGTAGACCTTACCCAATCCCTACCCCTAAACCTAACCTACCCACAACTTTTCCTTAATATCACAGGGTAATGATAGGGGAATAACACTGATTTTTAATTACTTCACCTTGGTTCTAAGCCTAAACTTGACATAAACGGTAAACTTGTCCCTCAAATCTGATTGGTTGATTGGAAAGTTGTTCCAGGATCAACAAAGATGTTGATCCATGAACATGTGGTACTTGGTGAAATCACGTTCGCCAATTTATACTTCTGCGTAGGGTGCGCGCGGTAGGTACGGCGTAGCATACGCACAGACGCGTCCCATACCGCGTACCCTTCGCCGTAGCCTGACGCGCACCTCTTCAAAAATGTAACTACACGTCGCGACGACGCGGACCGCAAGATCGGTGATTGGTCGGCTTGGTAGCATCGCATTTCCTCCTACGCATTTCCGCAATGTCTTCTCTCATTTCTGCCTTTCAGTTTTAGTAATTTCACTAAAATTAACTGTTTTTTCCACCTCAATAAGCTCAAACTCCAACATGATCAGCTCTCTTTCAGTCGCTATTGCTTGTAGTAACCTAACTGCGAGGAATCTAAACACAGTGGAACATTAAAACCCTCCGCCGCCAACTAGCGTTTCGGAGCAGTACTGCAGAGCAACCAAGACCTGAACGCAGAAGTATAAATGCTCACAACAGCGTCGCCTACGTGCGTAGCCAACGCCGTACACTACGGCGTACCCTCGACGCAGAAGTATAAATTGGCCTTAAGAGGGTCATAGGTCCGTCTGGCACTTGATCCTTGTTTAAGTGGCCAAGGATTGGGGGGTTATCAGTGTAACTGTGTATGTGAATGTGCTTGTTGATTGGTTGTTGACAGGTGAAAAGGGGGATCGTGGAGACCGAGGGACGCCTGGTAAAGCCGGAGTGGACGGACCCCCAGGATTCCCAGGTGTTTCGGGGCCCAAAGGCAGTAAAGGAGACACTGGGACCCCCGGAGACCCCTGCAAAACCCAGCAGTCGTCCTTCTCCGTGGGCCGACGCAAAGCTCTGCACAGCGCCGACTACTACCAGGCCTTGATCTTCGACACCGTCTTCGTGAACCTGGACGAACACTTCAACATGTTCAAAGGGAAGTTCTACTGCTTCGTCCCGGGAGTCTATTTCTTTAACGTTAACATTCACACCTGGAACTTCAAGGAGACGTACCTGCACCTGATGCTGAACGATCGCCAGCAGGTGATCCTGTACGCGCAGCCCAGCGAACGGTCCATCATGCAGAGCCAGAGCGTCATGCTAGCACTCGAGCTCAACGACGAGGTGTGGGTGCGACTCTACAAGCGCGAGCGCGACAACGCCATTTACAGCGACGACGTGGACGTCTACATCACATTCAACGGGCATCTGGTGGCTCCTAAAGTCTAGGTGGAGGAATCGCAGTCGGGTGGAGATCTAGAGGATGTTTGTGTGTGTGTGAACCTTCCCAGCAAGCACGTATAGGCTAAAACAAGGCAAAATTTGGGCTGTCAATTAAAATTTTTTAGACGTCTAAATCTCACAAGTTAATTTGGCTAAACGACATGTGACCAAATTCAAGGTTATTTTGGCTAGAAGTGTGTGGGAATACATTGTTGACCTGGACGGTGAAATGACGGCTGTTGCTTGCTGGGTTTAGCTTTTCAATTGAACACTCTGCTGTTGTCTCTCACCTCATTTTGGAGAAATTACGATACGTGTAACAACACTTGCCTTGAAAGGCATAAAGACTTGTACAGTGTTTGATTTGAGCTGCTGAGCAGCCTGTCGATTAACAATGAGCAGGACTTTAACTCTAAACCCCTTTCTCTTCCCTCACTCCCCTGTGATCAGGATATGGTCAACATGAATTTGACCACCTCGATATTGTTTATTCATATATTGAACCGCACCTATTCTGCTTTTTCCATATTTCTTTAGTGTGTAATGTTTGAGCATAAACAAGCTCCAGTTATTCTCTATATCAGCGTCACTCCCTGAAACGCCTCGAGTTTCTTCCACGTCACAATATTCCTCATTATAATAATTCATGCACAGAATAAAGGGGCGGGGCCTGGTTGAGTTAGTTAGTAGTGTGTTAAACTGGCGGTTAAGGTAAGGGGCGGGGCATTTCCCAAACACACACAAAGCGCTCGACCAATCACAACACACTGCTCCAGCCGACCAATCAGAGCACAGTGTGCTTTCAAAAGGAGGGGCTTCATAGAGACATGAAGTAAACAGAGCGTTACTGACAGACTGGGAAGAGAGGAGCCTCAACAATGGAGAATATGAGGAGAATAATCAACATTCAAGCAGGAAAACCTGTTCTAGTAGAGCCTGAAAACAAGACTTTGTAAAAGGTGCTGGAGTTTAAACCTCGTCAGAGAACAATTTCTTTGTATTTCCATTTCCACAAACAACCAAAAACCAAGTTTATAGGTGCATCCCAATTCATGTACTTATGCACTATTCTATGACGTTTTGTAGTATAATAAGTGCATGTGTTCATACTGAGAGTATCATTTGGAACACAACTACAGTGATTGGCAGCTGCTCTGAGATCAGTGTTGTGATTAGTGAATTTGATCTCAGTCCAGAATCCACAAACAGTTTAACAATTTCCAGATTTGACTGATTTCCCCGTGAAGGACAGTTTCTGTCCATCTGAGATTCAGTTTCTGGGAAATAAAGTCCACCATTGGACTGGTGTCATGAAACTGGGATGTTTTGTATTTCGTTTCTCGTGTTCTTTAACATTTTTACCTTGACCTTTTTAAGGTTTCTCTGATGTTGTCTCCATGAACTGGTGCGAAACTGGTGACGTGTGCACTTTCTGCAGGGGAAAACAACTATGTCTATATTCTGATGTGTATGTTTACATTGTTTCTATTAAATTCAGCAACAAAACACTCAACTTCTCAGACGTCTTGTTTTTTTATTTAGTTCAGTCTGTTAACCCAAATACTTGTGAATTATTGCTGCGTTCACGCCATGGATGTGAATGCTTTTTACAAGTTTAAATATCGTAATTACAATAATTACAACATGGCGTCAACACACCTTATAGTCCACTTACACCAAGGACAATAACTAACGGACGTCAAACTATAGTTTTAAAGTCCCCCAGTGGTGTAAATCAAGCTTTTAATGTTGTTTATGTGTCTATATATTGTTTTTAATATGCTTTGTATGTGAAAATTCATAAATTGACAGGCATTGCGCTGCTGAGACTAGTATTAGGTGCAATGCATTACCAAGTAATTAATTAGTCATTTAATTATGTTTCCCCTGGAAAAGTATGTAAAGGAATGGGATACACTTCATAGTTCGGGTTATAGTTATCATTATAGATTCTTGGTGTGACTGACAACTGTCTGGGCAAACCATTGTTAAAAAGACACAGAATCACATCACACACACACACCAGAACATTATTTTCTCATTTCACCAGCACAGGTCCTCTCTTTCTCTCTCTCTATACTTCATCAGGTCATTCTGTTCAGGGCCAATAATATCATCAGAAACAACTGTTCGATTGATTTTACCCTCATTACCAACAACAATCAATAAAACAGTCGTCAGTGTAAACAATCATCTCATAAGTTAAGTTTTAGCTCAATAAAGGTTTGATTATGCTAACCGAATCACGCGCAATTGACCCGATATCCCTCAATAACAAACAATTAATTTACCTCGTCATTGGCGGTTGTTTGATGTAGGCGACTCTTTCCTCAAGGAAATATCCTGTTGTCTTGTGTTGGGATCAGTTCAGGGTCGCCAGGTCTGCACAACAAAACTAGCAGAAATGCTAATCAGAAATAGCTTGAACCACAGATTTACACAAATAACCGCGAAAAGAGGGATTGGGCGGGAAAACCGCGGATTTGGCAACACTGGCTCAGTTCACTAGATTCTGAGCACACACTGCCCTCTAGTGTACTGAGTTCACGAGTGAAGTAGTACCCCAGAGTGCACTCTGGGGTTACTCCGAGTGAAGAACACAAATGAACATTTCTGAACTGTTGATGATAAATCAATGGAAATATGTCCACAAACTGGTTTTCAAATTAATTTATTATAGGTTTTGTCATAGAATTTGTTATTTTTATTCAAGGTTAACATATAGCCATTCATATACACAAAACAAAAGGATTGTATAAACTCATTTAATGTACACGCTCCTTCTTACCAGTGCAGAAGAGGACTATTCTCTTCTTTTTAAACACTTTCACTCTTTTACGTCGTGTGCGTCACCCACACACGCACAGAGATTGGCGGAGAGAGAGAGAGAGAGAAGAGTGGACGTGATTGGAGGATTGATCACAAAACAAAACAGTGCTTCAATAATAGTAACAAACATGACAGACTGATCTTTATGTCATATATGAGGATCTTATACAAGATTACACATCAAGATGAGAAATATTAACTTCACCCGAAAATATAAACAAAGAAAAAATCATTTAATATATTAAAGTAGAACACACTGAATAAGTTACGCTTTCGAAATGATAAAATGCAGTGCAGATATGAACAGTTTAACACAGGACGTTCACTATTATTTCCTGAAGGGTCACGTGTGTGTTTGTGGCGCGTTTGACTCTCACTACTACACCCATTCCGTTATTAAACATGTCCTGTTTTATATAGGCTAAACATTTTTCCTTTGAGCTGCGAGCAAAGCTCCCTGATGCATGAAACGACACAGTTCACAGGTGATTCACAAGACAAAAGCAAGATAATAACCCGAAACAAACTCTACGCCAGTATGCAAAGGAAAACGATCGGACGTCAATTTACTGCGCATGCGCATACTCCTCATCAGTAAACCGCTTCTTCTGCGGTCAGTTTTCGCAATTTTTTTCAGTTCCTCAACAGTTTTTGAAGAGCATCTTATTGAGGTTAGAATACACTACACGACTTTTCTAGATTTTTGTCCGGATTTGTATGTTTAGTAGGTTTATTCATGCCTATTTTTTGGAAAAACGTATTATAGCCAAAATAATATTTAGCATCCCATTCATTGACAACAACAAAGATTTAGAATTCTGGAAATTCAGGCTATTTCTGTGGTGTATAAAACATACAATACGCTTCAGTTGATTATTTATGTAGATATGCACTTACTTTAATGGCAAAAAATGAATTAAAAAAACCCACCATAGCAGCAATCATTCTTCCCTCCACCATGTGTAAAGTTTATGGCCGCCCAACTCGGGAACATGGGTATCAAAATGATCCCCAAGCTTCCCAGTAGTTAATATGACTTGAAGTTGAGAGGTCGTTCATGTCCAATTTTTAACTAGCAAGCTTTAGTAAGAATGTATGTGCAAATTCAATGTCACATCGGGTGCAAAATCGGTGGCATTTGACTGATTTCTGGAAGTGTATGATGGACACAGACATGTTTTATATTTTGAGCTGATTTTAGAAATAATTGTTTTCATTTGTCACACACACTCCGGAGACAATGGGCGGAGATTGATATCAAGCTCCTCCTCTCTGGATTTAATGGGCGGAGCTTGATGTCCAGCCACACCCTATCCAAAATCATATCCCTAAACTTAATTAGGTTAAGATGCAGTGTTTTAAAAATCTGTTACGATTTTAAAAGTTGTGTAGTGTATTCATGAAATGAAAATTCACTGTATTTTTTAAATGAATGTTATTGATCTTATTGTGTATGTTTCATTTTTAAATGTTTTAATAATAATAATAATCAAAATCATCATACTTCTGGTGATGTATGCAGGACTTAGTGCTCTTAAACTCCGCCCCTGCATGCTCACGCTCATCTGCATACAGTTTTGATTGCCATGCCCACATCTCAATATCCTAGCAACAAGTCCCCTCACAACATTTTTTAATTTTCAATACTTTGTTACACTCGGATGCACATCAGAATACAGAAGAAACAATCTGTCACTACTTCTGTTTCATCGCAAGTTATAAAGTTAAAATGTCAATATGTTTAATTACAAGTAGCTAGATATAACACATTCAGTTAAATGGCACACACATTCGAAGAAAACTCTCTCCGTTCAATAGCACAAGAGCACGTTTGCATACTAGCGTAAAGTGTTTCTAGACAAGAAGGTTAATGACAGAATTTCATGTTTAAGATGAATAATATGACGTGAGAGGACGGGATGGAGGGATGACATGGAGATGAAGGAGAGAGACGATTCTGCATCTCTCTCCTCTGACAGACCGATCTTCCCTTTTGTACACAGAAACAGGATAGTAATAAATTAGATAAATAATGTAAACAGCAACAACATTTACAACAGCAAACAACACAAAGCAAAAATGACAGTAAGTCCGAAACAGTGAATGTTTGTTAACCGAGAGAGAGAGAGAGAGAACGTGGTTTCTGATGAACAGCCTCAAAACGGTCCTTCATTTGTTTCAATAGAGAAAAACAATCATTAAACTCCAGACAAAATGTGATTTGCACTAAATGTGGCACGTTGGTCGTGGACGGACATAAGATATAAACACTACCGCTCAAAAGTTTTGGATCTGTAAGATTTATTTTCATTCATTTATTTGATTAAAAATACAAACAAAATAAAATTGTGAAATATTATTCTAATTTTCAATATGAATATATATAGTAAAGTGTGATTTATTAAATGTAGATTTGATCACAGGAATAAATTTAATTGTATTCACATAGAAAACGGTTATTTTAAATTGCAATGATATTTAACAATATCATTTTTTTTGTGTATTTTTAATCAAATAAATGCAGCCTTGGTGAGCAGAAGAGACTACTTTTGAAAACCACGAAACATGAGAGACATAATTCTCCAGATATGAGTTTCACGAGGTCATTCATAAGGCCATTATTAAAGATATTCCTGCTCATGTAAGCTGCGTGATATGCAGATTCAGGTGGAATGAAACCAATTTGCATCACTAGAGGTCAATATTTCCAATGTATTCCCATGCGGATTGGACACAGATTTGGAGCGTCCATGCGGATTGGTTCGCTGCTCATGCAAGCTCGTCTAAAGCTCATTTACTGAAGGATAAATTCACATTTTGAGGACAGACGAGAGGTCACGGCCACATTGCAATCCCAGTGTGATGCCATAGATGCATTTATGCACCTGTCTCTCTGCTGAGAGAGTTATGTCTTCAGGATATCTAACGCTCTTTCTATCTTTAGGCTGCGTGTCATTTTAGTTTCACAGCCCCTAGCGAGTTGAAGTCATTTGTTAGTTCATGACCCTTGACTTCTGGAGATATTTATTTCACTGGTGGCAGTATTTTAACCCCGTATCCCAGAGAGAGAGAGAGAGTTCCTGTATCTGTTTCTGTCAGCGTGTGTCTGACACAGAGATAACGTTCTTCCCTCAACTACTTTAACCGTCCGTCTAGGAGAGTTTATTTATGGCCGACCCTTGTGGAGCCTAAAGTCAACATGAAACGACTCTTTTTTTGTGTGCAATGAGAATAAACAATGAGCTCATTGAAGTAATCAATTCTTGTTTGTTATCAAATGATTATGACTGTGTCTCTATATGAAGGTGGTTGATAAAAAAAGGGATTGACGTCATTTATGTGTCTCCAAAATAATGGCAATGAATCATTCACAATAAGAGCAACACTGTCGATTTCATGTAGACTTTAACAGCCCCAGTAGCCTATAAAAAGTCCTTAAATGATCCCAGAACGTATCAAATCTTCTGCAAATCCTCAGATCTCTGGTGCCGCTGTGTACATGCAACTCCCCAGAGATCTCCAATGCGATCAGATGGCTTCACGGCTCTGAGAACTGGGAATTTCCAGCACACGATTTCGTAAGAAACTGTTTCCCCATTCTCACTTTAAGTTAAAACTCGAGAACCAATACCACGAAACACCCACATGGCTCTGTTACAGAAACACAGTGAGCTGCATTGCCATGGGAAATTCATAAAAAGCTTAATTTTCAATGCTTTTTGGTATTGAACACATTGCATTTATAATCACTTGCAATGCATTATTGGCTCACTCCTTCTCTAGAAAGGATAAATATTGTAGAATATGGCCAAAGGTCCAGTCCAACCAGAGTTTATTCAGACACATTTCTCACACGGTCTATGTAATATAGTTTAGAAAATGGTAATAGAGTATCGATTGGAACCAGGACTAACTTTTCGTTTTTCCCGGAATCGTTCAAAAGTTAAAATTTCGATTCCTAGTTTCGATATTCACAGTCCGCTGAGCGGAAGAAGAAACCGCTGAACAACACCAACGAAGAAGCGTCTACCGAAAGTGTTGGCATAACCGCGCGAGTCAAACGTGAGTAGCTTACGTCGGCAGTCCAAAGTGTGGCTTCACTTTTCTAAAAATAACGAAATCTCTGCAAAATGCAAAATTTGTGACAGAAGGAGTATTTTTACAGGAGCATTTCCTTCAGAAAGACCGTTGGTTAGCAAGGTTAGCTAAACTTTTTTGACCCTGCCTCTTAAAAGAATCGGAATCGAGAATCGTTAGGAACCGGAATCGAAACAAGGAATCGGAATCGGAATCAGAATCGTTCAAATTCAAACGATACCCAACCCTACTGGTTAGACTCTCACATGAATTATGTTGAACATAGGTTGAATGAAAATATCATAAAGTGTCTAAATAAGCAGCATATGATTTGAAACAACTTAAAATGTAGGCAGACTAGCTTGTAACAGAGCCACCGTGTTTATTCACATTATCGCAGGCTAAATAGCTGATGTTTTTTCTTTAAAACGTTGTTTTCCGCAAGGATTTCACCAACAGGAAGATCATTTGTGCTCTGTCTGAGCGAATCTCACATATCAGCTCCATCAGAGCTCAAACAAAGCTCTCTCTCTCTCGTCTACAAGCCCATCCAGAAAGGCTCACAATGATGCACACACTTTTTTCTGATTTTTGAGTTTGGCGGATTTACAAGCTGTCGATAAACCCAAAAATGTGGCATTTGTGCAATGAGTTTTCTTCTTTTCGATTCTGAAGTGCAAGCGAGAAAGTCTGTGCACCAATGAAATTCACTCAATCACACACACATTCGCTCTCTCTCTCTTACAGACACACACACACCACAGTCATGTACAACGAACACAGGAGGAACAGAGTCTCTCGGGTAAACATCGGCCAAAACAGAAAGGTTTGTTGTTCTCTGCAAGGCATGTGCTCACATGAAGCGTTCATCCATTGGACGGTTTTGGGAGGGTCTTAAGAGCCAATCAGAGAAGAGGACGGCGGTCTCTTCTCTCCCAAACGTTTGATCCTTATCTACGCGCCCCCCGGCCTGGCATACGGATTCTCCAACAAGTAGCGGTAGAGATCGTAATGATCAAACATGTATTTAGGGGCGTACATATGTTCCTTAGGGTCCGATGGCGGGTATTCCTGCACAGAGCCGTCGAACCAACCCCCCGTTCGGATCAGGTCCCGGATGTAGTTCAGATCCCGCTTGTCCTCGTAGTCGCCCCAGCGGGGAAAATCCCCGTTTTGGGCCGAAATGAGTTTAAAGTGAATTCCCTCTGGCGTGAAACACCAGGAGCAGTGCCAGCCTGCGAAATGAAACGGACTTCCGATTGACCACTGCACCAAAATGTGTCCGGTGTCGTTTTCGTACTTCCGAAATCCCGGCATGGTGTAGTATTCCCTACGTCGGAGCCGAATCCCATCGTTATCATAGACATCCCTCAGCATGCCGATGGTACACCCGGACACAACCTCGAGCGAGCCGAGTTGCTTCCAGAAAAACCCATACAGGGATTTCCTCATGTGGATTGCAAACGGCTCCGTCCAGCCATCGAAAAGCTTTAGGAAAAGAACTCCTTCGTGAGCCGGAATTTCATCAGCATCGTTAATGAGAAAAACGTCGTCGGGACGTAGACCCGATACGCGAGCGATGCCGTCGCGAGTCAGAAAGGTGCGCAGATAATCGTCGGCGATCCATCCGTCTTGTCGACCACCGTCCGGGAAATGATCCAGGAAAACGAAGAGGATCTTGTGGCGAACATAGTCGTATGTTCCGTTGAGCAACAAATGCAGGAATCTGAGCGGACGCCTTTCTCCGTACGCCGTGAAGTTGGACTCGCACACGAGGAATAGATCCACGGCTTGGATGAGCTCGCGGAAGCGCACGTGCAACAGGTCGAACTCGTGGTTCACGTTAATGGCGTTTATGACGCGTCTCGGCGTCTCGCGCGGCGTTAGCCGCTCTTTCGTGGGGAGATTTGAGTGGTACACCATTGTGGGAACGCCACAGTAAGATCCATGCCATCCCGGTCGACACACACACTTCACCAGACGCTTCCCGCGCTTCGGCTTCACTCGAGCGAGACCGGATTCTTCCGCTGATTTCGCTTGAGCCTTTGTCTCGTCAGGTTTTTGCAATATTCTCCGCTGGCTCATTCCACCTGCGCTAGGTTTGGTTCTCAGCGCCTCGTCTTTCGCCAGCGCCGACTCCGTTCCCTGACGAAAGCACAGCGCTCCCGCTTTGGTGCGGATGAAATACGATGTGTGGTCGTCCTGGAGCGTGTGTGTGCGCCGGTGAAGGTCGCCCAGGGACTCCAGCGGGTCTGGAGTCGAAGAGTGACGCGGATGAAACTTGTTGCCCGCGACTCTCAGGCTAGCGTCACCGGAGTTCTGGTGGGTCGGGATGCTGGCGACCAAACCTCCCTTATGGACCTGATTAATGGAAAACAAGCATTAGAAGACTCAAAGGCAGCAGAATCGGGACAGTTTCACTTGCCGCGTTTCCATTACCCTTCAAATTGCGCAAATTGAAAATACGCCCAGTGGAAACACGTCAATTTTAAACTCCCATATATTGCAAAAAAGTTTTTAGCACGCATGAGGTGGTTTTTCAGGTAATTCAAAAAAGAGAATATTTCGCAAAACTGCAATGCAACCAAACCTCCCAAAAATGCCTCAATAGTGACAATCTCTCTGTGATCTTTCAGTGATGCTTTATCAACTTCTGATTCAACCAATCACTTTAGTTTGGGGCGGGACTATCTGGCCGACTGACCAATGAAAGACAGGGGAGTGTTGCAGAGCACAACCTTACGGACGAATAGACCCCTTTTCAGTTGGTAAACATGGTGACGTTTTTATGTGGACGCGACGTGTCCCACCGGACGCGAATAGTGCGTCAAATTTGCGCCTGTCGCGTCTAGTTTGACGCTCGACCACTTTGTGTTAATTCGCGTGTCAAGAGTGAAACTGACGCGCGTAAAAACAAAAGTTTGAAGCGAAATTTACGCGCGTGACGCGCGTCAGAATCGAAATCCGTTGGCGGACATTGTTTTTATGTCAACCGAGCATTCATCGAGAGAGTCACCGCTCTGTGTTTACTCTGGAGAGCTGAGCAGCGGCGTGGGGATCATCGTCGCCGTATATTTGTGTCCTCCGGACCCTTCGGAGGCGAACCGTTTGGCGAGTTTCACCATTTGCTCGCTCCAGGAGCTGCGCTGGATGACGGCCGCTGTCAGCGGTACTTCTGCCTGTCCCGCGCCCCGTTTGATGACCTGTTGTCCCGCATCGGAGCGAGGATCACCCTCGCCCTCATCCATCTAATCTAGCTGTCATTTATTTTTGTTTTGATGATAAATAGAGCCAGCCTCCAAAAGTTATTAACTTGTCATGTGATTTTTGTTTCTCTCTCACGTCCACGAACTTATGCACATATGTTGATTGTCTTTACATCATAATACTATTTCATATAATCTAGATATGGATTGAATAACATTCAATAAAAAATGAACATGTCTCGTATATAGAAATAATATTTTAAGTGATAAAATATTTGCTTTCTTGTGCATAATCCCACCATACATTTAGTCATATTACAAAATAATTTATTGAAGCATCCAGACACTTCACCACGTGAGCAAGCAGCTAGGCTCCTGATTGGTTAACACGGTGCGAATTCACGCCAAAGTTCAGATTATTCAACTCGAGTGGCAGGTGCGAATTCGCGTCAAACGCGTGAATAAACAAATGGCACTAACTAAATCATTCGCGCGTATCGCGCTTAAAGCGGCAGACGCTTAATTCGCGCCATTCCCGCTATCATTCGCGCCGCAGGAATTTTTAACGCGCATAAGGCGTCTTTGCATTGACGTAATATTGAAATCATTCGCGCCTGACGCGCTATTCGCGTCCGGTGTGAACGCACTATTAGAGCAAAGAAGCTGCTAAATTCCACGAAAATATACTGACACAATGATAAACAAGTAATAATATTCCCACATATCGTTTTACTGAATAATTAAGTAAACCTAATTTCTTAATTTATCTTTGTAAAGAAACCGCTACTCTCGGCTACTCTCTGCTGTCTCAGACAACAACATCTTTTCCCGTCGGCCACCGTAACTTCAGTTGGGTGCAATGCGCAACCTCACCACTAGATGCCACTAAACATTACACAGTGCACCATTAAAATAGAAAGTTTCTGTAGAGGAGTGTAGAGAAGAAGAGTCCCGGTACCTCAGTGGTGCGCTGCAGATCTTCAGGTCTCTTCCAGGGCTGTGGTGCTTCAGGCTCCTGTCCGGTGTCCAGCTCCAGAACCGCTCCGACCCGAGGCCCTTCCTCAGGGGACGCGCTCACCAGCGGGGTCGAGCCCTCCTTCCAGAAGAAGCCAGTCACCATGATGAAGGACTTGATGTTAGGGTAGGGTGCAGACAGCTCCCTCAGCAGGGACACGTAGTGGAGAGCCTTGTAGTAATGCAGGAAGGAAATGACACACAGTCCCACTGTGCAAATCAAGAAAACCCTGTGACGTCTCATTTTCATCCTGAGGAACCGGAGAGAGAGAAACAGAGTTCAGAGACCCCTAGCGTACAATCTTGTATTAAAGGGATAGCTTAGCCAAAGATGAAAATTAGCTCATGATTTACTCCCCCTAAAGTTATCCTAGATGTATATGACACTTTTTTCAGACAAATACAATCAGAGTTATATTAAAAAAATGTCCTGGCTTTTCCAAACTTTATATTCCAAACATCTATTCATGATAAAAGCACTTTTATGATGACAGATGCACTTTTATGATGGATAGATGCACTTTTATGATGACAGATGCACTTTTATGATGGATAGATGCACTTTTATGATGGACAGATGCACTTTTATGATGGACAGATGCACTTTTATGATGGACGGATGCACTTTTATGATGGACAGATGCACTTTTATGATGGATAGATGCACTTTTATGATGGATAGATGCACTTTTATGATGGATAGATGCACTTTTATGATGGATAGATGCACTTTATGATGGATTGATGCACTTTTATGATGGATAAATGCACTTTTATGATGGACAGATGCACTTTTATGATGGACAGATGCACTTTTATGATGGATAGATGCACTTTTATGATGGATAGATGCACTTTTATGATGGATAGATGCACTTTTATGATGGATAGATGCACTCTTATGATGGATTGATGCACTTTTATGATGGATAAATGCACTTTTATGATGGACAGATGCACTTTTATGATGGACGGATGCACTTTTATTTGGACGGATGCACTTTTATGATGGACGGATGCACTTTTATGATGGACAGATGCACTTTTATGATGGATAGGTGCACTTTTATGATGGACGGATCCACTTTTATGATGGACGGATGCACTTTTATGATGGATAAATGCACTTTTATGATGGACAGATGCACTTTATGATGGACGGATGCACTTTTATTTTGGACGGATGCACTTTTATGATGGACGGATGCACTTTTATGATGGACAGATGCACTTTTATGATGACAGATGCACTTTATGATGAACAGATGCACTTTTATGATGTACAGATTCACTTTATGATGGGCGGATGCACTTTTATGATGGATAGATGCACTTTTATGATGGATAGATGCACTTTTATGAAGGATAGGTGCACTTTTATGTTGGATAGATGCACTTTTATGTTGGATAGATGCACTTTTATGATGTACAGATGCACTTTTATCTTAGATGCACTTTTTTTTAAATGTGGAACTGCACCCAAACAAAATCTCACTGAAAGTAATTTTTTTGAGATATCAACTTGAAATTTGGAACACGACTTGATTTTCTAGCACTTTTAGAGTTCAACGTGTTTCATAAAATATATATTTTTATATAAAATAATGTTCAAGAATTATTTCCATAAACTTAAACCTCCATAACTTGTTTTGGTTTCACTTTTTAAACTCGTTTTTAAGGGTTTATATCTGCTATAGTACTGTATTACAATAATGACAGATCACCTAATAATGAAATTGACAAAAACAACAACGCTAAAATGTCCAGATGCAGAATGATATTGATCATTTTGAGAGAAAAATGTGCTTTAATAAGCTCATGCAATTTTCCTCCACTGCATTGTGTTACATAACAGGAAATAATGGACCAATATTTGGGAATTATATAAATGAGAAAATCACAACACATGTGAAGCACTCTGATTTCAGAACGCCTCCTGCGACGTCTTGAGTTTGCTGCATTTCCGTCACCGGAACCGTAATTTAAAGTGCTCAGCGATCATGATTAGATGGACGTGTTTCTCTCCGGCGTTTCAGATCAGCTGAAGAACAGAAGCTCCTCAGTGTTTCTGACCTTCCAGATCATCAGGGATGGTAACAAAACACCCCATGAGAACGTTCCCTGCGATTGTTCCCACTGACGCCGGGCATCGGGGACACTGAAGATGCTGTCTGAGCTCCAGAGTTTGTGTTAGCTAACATTACGGCACGGTTTTGTAAAGATATAACAGTAATCAGTGTTGTAGTCGAGACCACCTCACTCGAGTCCGAGTCGACACCGAGACCAGAGAAAGTCGAGTCCGAGTCAAGACCGAGACCAGTGAGGGTTACTTACCTAATTTACTTTTATTTACTTAGAGAAATCCTTTTTTTTTTTTTTTACTGAATTTACTTAGAGTTTAAAAAATATGATCAGTTTAGGGTAAAAAGGCCACATAGTAGGTGGTGTTAAAAGTAATTTTATTACAATTTGTCATGCGCAGTTGCGCACTAGAAAATCACCAATCACTGGGCGTGTCAATCAATTTAAAGAAATATTTTATTAACATACATTAACAATCATGAAAAATATTTTTAATTGAACTCGAGTGGACTCGGGAATAATTCTGAGTCCTAAAAAAAAAAATGTTCGAGTACAAGTCAATTCCGAGTCCAAATGCACACGAGTCCATGACAAGACCAAGACCATTAAAATATGGTCTCGAGACCGAGTCCGAGACGAGTCCGAGTCTCGAGTACTACAACACTGACAGTAATGTTCATAAAACATTTGTTAAAAGTCTTGTGGCCTTTAATAATGTTAGCACAAATAACATTGGTTCATGGAATGTTTCAGTTGGACGTTTTTTTAAATGTAACTTGTTTCGGAACGTTCAGAGAACATTCAAAAGTAACACTTCATAATGTCTGAAGAATGATACAATATAATGTTCTTAATGTTGTTAACGCTTTTAAAACCAAACTGGACCTTTTGAACGAGCAGAGAACGTTTAGAAATAATGTAATATAAGATGTTAGCACGGCGTGTTTTGCTCTGGGAGGATGTGACATTTCTACAGGGTTCGTACTGACACTGTAAAGGGAAATTCAAGGACGTTTTTGGTTTTCAAGGATTTCCAATCAGAGATATCACTTATCAAACACTATCTATATTATATTTCAAATGTAAAAAAGGTAAATATTTTAACAAAAATAAACCAATAACACATAATGTACAAATAAAGTGCAGCGGATGCAGTGACTTAAGAGATATCGCTTTCCTTATTCAAACTGATTTATTCTCCTATGAAGACCTGAAGAATGAAACCTGTATCATATACTCTGATATTTATGAGCAATATCACACTCACAGTCATGAGAAACGCCTCTATATGAGTATCAGACGGACTGCAGATTCATTATGTGTGGAGTGATTGCTTTATCAATAAAATTAAACACTAATTTCACATATTGTCTTTCAATAATTCAAGTGCTTTTCATAAATTTGTCTGTTTTCAAGCGTTTTCCAGGACTAACATTTCACAAATTCAAGCATTTAAAGCGCCTTGTATGAACCTTGTTCAGTCGACACGGCTCAATTCTGTGTGTTTGCGTTCTTAAATGCTTCATTTGTACCGTCACACCAACACAAGAGTGCCTGTGAAGAACATTCATTGGACAAGTGTGTGTGTGTGTGTGTGTGTGTACTAGTGCAAGTGTGTGTCCTGTGAAAGATGAACTGATGATTACAGAGAAACACTCATCAGGACACTAACTCGACTGCAGACAATTGAATTAATCTGTTAAATAACCAGCTAACTGAGTCAATGAGAGGAACCGAGCGATGTGATTGGACGACCAGGCTTCTGACGCAGGATGACATCACATGCACACACTGCGGGGTCTCGAGACACAAATAAACCGGTGCATTATTGTGGGAAGAATCAAAAGAACAACAATCGGCAGCCAGATTGGATTTAACACAATCAAACGCCCACACACACACACACACACACACACACGGTAACATCTCGACCGGGTTTATAATGTGTGGTGTGTTCTGGTAGATTCGGGTGCTTCTGTATATCTTGGTGAAACATCAGGATACACTCCGTTTATTTTCATTCTTCCCTATACAACTCTCTCTTTAACCTTTAACCTTTACTCGACTGGAGCGCGCTCTAGGGTCCAACATCTCAAATCACCCACAATCTTATGTTCAAAAAAACAAAAAAAACAAAAAAAATGTGGAGTGATCTGCATCTCTCTCTCTTTCACAACTTTGATTTTTCCACGAGAGGAAACAACAGGCTTCGGTCACATCAGGACACACACTCGCCTCTAAAGTCTCCATCCAATCAAAACTGACCATTCTTGTTTTTTATGGAATATTGCTGTGTTTATTGTAAATGATTTATTATTACAGTGTTCATAATGTTGAATGAGAATCAGTTCCTCTCGCAGCATCTCATCTCTGATGAGGTGGGCGGGGCTATAACCTGTCACTCACAGGAGATCAGCCAATAGCAAACCACAACCGTCCAATCAACTCCCCACAGACACAATCAAGCCCCGCCCACATTTGTTCTCATTCCTGAAGCGATTCACTCGTTATACGACACAATAGAGGAGAGAAGACCAGCGCAACTTCACTTTCATGACGACTTTAAGAGACTCTGTTAATCTCAGCTCTACATCAGACTCATTAATAAACAAACTCTAGATGAGGACGAAACTCATTATGAACTCATTATTTCAATTTAGTTCACTTCTGTGAACACATCTGTTCCCAAACTACAACTAATACACACACACACACACACACACACACACACTCTTCAGGCTGATAAAACCCTGTGTGAAACAGGAGATAAGATTGGATTCTGATATTGTTCATGTTCAGACTCTATATGAAGCCGAATCCTCATCACACACATCAGCAGATGATGTCATCGAGACGTCATTCATCAACAGAAGCTGCACGATGATGTTTGGCCTAATGGTTTGCCAGTCTGACTGCTAACACAAAGGTTGCTGGTTCGATTCGATTTGCAGTGTGTGTGTGTGTGTGTGTGTTCACTACTCTCACAGCTCCCAATGTGTGTGCACTAATTAGGAAGGGTTAAATACAGACGACAAATCCACTGTAATATGAAGGATGAATCTGATTCATCATGTCTCACCCCAAAAACAAAAGAAAAACGCAACATTAAAAAGCAACCGGTAGTTTTGCACTGCGAGATTATTTCCATGACAACAGAGAACTCGAACTC